GCGAGAGGACCTGGGTTTGATTCCTGGACAGGGCAAGATGAAACCTCAGTTTAGTAAGTTTTAGTAAGTTTCCTTACCCTACCATCCGCTGTTTATGTAGCAGTAAGTAGGAACCCAGTTGTTAGTCATTCGGTGGATCACTTTCCAGTGGTAATAAACCCTCCAAATAAATAAAATTATAATAATTTGGACATCCAATCCACGACTGTTTGTGGGACATTGCTGTGCGCAATTGGATGCTGCGTTTCGCCCATAAAATTCGCTCAATTCACTTTACAGTATATTCTGCGAAGCGCTTTCAGATGTCTCAAAGATGTGATAAGGCGCTACAACAACAACAACAAAATTACATTTGTATAGCGCCTTTCACGTCAGGAGGACGTCCCAAGGCACTGCATCAAATGCAAGGATTATTATTATTATTACCTCAGTCTCTTCCCCTCCCTTCAAAACTATCTCTTTGCTTACACCCAATATCCCTCCCAGCTCAGGTTCTCACTCAATCTTTGTAAAGCACCTCGAGAGTGTTCCCCAACGTAAAAGGCAATCTAGAGGGAGTGTAAATTGCTATTGTCCTTCAGGTCCCATCTAAAGACCTTCCTCTTTGACCATGCCTTCTGCCACCCTCCAATCCCATCCACCCTCCCTATACTCCACCCCTGTTGACCCCAACTCCCCGCTCGGGTCCAAAAACCCTGACTGTCCAGCGCCCTGGGACGTCTTTCCGACATGAAGGATGCTGTACAAGTCTAATTTGTTTTTGTTGTTGTTGTTGTTGTCATTGTCTATTCGGAAACCAATCCCATGCATTCAGTATGCGGGCCAATGCTTGCACGATAATGAAATCTGGGCTAACGTAAGGTTGGGTTGTGGAGCGATTTGGAATGGAATAATACAAGAAACTTCAGGTGGTGTAATATCTTCAATTAAATTGATGAGGAGATTTCAGAGTGATGTGAAATATTCATCGCATTTTGTTTTGTGTAATGGTTTCTCTGTCTCTCTCTGCTGGGAACATTCTGTCAATCAAGTGTGCTGATTCAAAGCAGTATTTTTCTCTAATGTAATGTAAAGATCCAATACAGGCAAACTTTAATAAAACAACCATTCTGCTTGACAAATAGAGAAATCGCAGCTTTTTCTTACTCAAGCCCTTCGTTGCATAACATTATCTTCGGATGAGAATTTAAACCGAAGTTCCCATCTGCCTGTTCAGGTGGATGTTATACGTCCCATGACACTATTTGAAAAGAGACAAATCCCGAAATAAAATTGGTCCATGTGGTACACTGCTGTGTACTACTGGCTGCCATGGTTCGTCCACAAAATACACACTTTACATTATATCCTGTGAAGCGCCTTGAGACGTCTCGATGGTGTGATAAGGCGCTGTATCAAGTGTAAGGATTTTATTATGTTATTTAAATATGCTCCGTCGCTGTTTTCAAATTTGCTCTCATTTGCTTACAAAATATGCAGTCCCTACATGTTGCGGTAAAATCCTGTGAAGCTCTTTGAGACACCCCCCCACCCCCCCACCGCACCACCCCCACCATGTGAAAGGACTATATAAGATGTGAGGATCATTGATGAATTAATATATTATTATTTCGATTTTTTTCTCCTTCATTGTTTAAAATGTTGTGTTTACAGTAAGGTCACACCCAGGGGTTAAAGGGACACATTTCTACTTTTTTCCCAGTCAGCGTCTGGATCAACCGCTGACAGGTCAGGTATGGCAGAGGTGCACAGTAATTAATTGGGAGAGAATTTGTTCCATTGCGCGTCACTAGATCCCACGAGCAGCTGAGCGGCTGTTACTATTTTTCATAAGGATGATCCCGTGTATGACCCTCCTTCCCCTCTTTTAGATCGCAACCGAAGACCTTCCTCTTCGACCGTGTTTATAGTCACTCCCCCCCCCCCCCCACGTGAAGGGCTCTGTGAAAATGTAAGTTGTTGTTGTTGTTATGCTCCATTATTTTCATCAGAAACAACCAAGTTTCTTCCGCTGTTGGGATAATCTGATCAGCCGTCAGCAAGAAACCATCGTGGCCGGTGTCAAGTAATTCAAAGTTGATTGAATACTCAATGCCCTGCTTGGTAAGCCCAGTCATTGGTAATGTCACCGGCTCGATCTAAATATTAGAAAGAATGAACAAATATTAGCGCTGTGTAACAATTAAAGAAACAGCAAGTCCACACAATTTCTGTTTTAAAAAAAACAGAATTGGAGTAGAATGTTTGGCCGGACACTCTTGGCATCGTGAGTAGATTGAAGTGTCAGCCTGGTTCGGGTCTTAGCACTCCGACTCTGAATGTTGTGTGTTCAAACCCAAAATCGTGACTTTGAGTTCACACAGTAGGCTACAGTACAAAACTGGGTTAAACGCTATATTGTGAAAGGTGCCGTCTGTCGGATGAGATGTTAAACTGAGATCCTGCTAAACCGTTCAGTTGGGTGTTAAAGATCCTGTAATAATAATAATAATAATAATCCTTGCATTTGATATAGCGCTTTTCACGTCGGGAGGACGTCCCAAAGCGCTTCACAGAACACACTGTAAAGGGAATTGACTGTACATTTGTGGGCGAACCCGGCAGCCAATGGCGCACAGCAATGTCCCACAAACAGTAGTAGATTGAAAATGACCAATTTATTATTGTTTTTGTTTTTTTGGAGGGATTGTTATTAGGCTCTGTGTGGAGTAAGGAAACTTGCCCAAGGTTTCGCCCTCTGCCTGGAATTGAATTCAGGTCTCTCGCTTGCAAAGCGAGTGCTCTAACCACTGAGCTACAGGACTTTAATAATAAAATAATAATAATAATAATAATAATCCTTGCATTTGATATAGCGCCTTTCACGTCTTCTAGATGTCTCAAAGGGCTTCACGGACTATACTGTAAAGTGATATGACTGTACATTTGTGAGCGAAACTACCAAGGCAGTAATCTAAAACTGAAGGGAGTTTCTCCTAATATCCAGACAAACTCCCAGATCAAATTGGTCATTCAATTCATGGCTGCTTGTGGGGCATGATGATCTTTTTTGATTAGAAATATTCATCACGTCACAGTAAAATCCTGTGAAGCAGATAATCTCAGTGTCGAGAGAACATTCTGTAAAATGGCATTGCAGTATTTATTTGTTGAAATATGCTTTTGCAGTTGGACAAGGAGACTTTCACACAATCGGTTTTCCCTAAATTCAAATCCAGGTCAAAGAAGGCAAGACAATTGTCTGAGAAACTCTATCATTCCCCCGTAGTGTATTGTTCATTAACAATCACTCACCCAGTGAATAGCTTTGGGCTGTAAACACCTAAGACAATGCCATGAAGATCCACAGTCCCTCATTTTCAGCGAAGACTGAGATGGAGGAAGTTGCCCATTGCATTTAAAGGAATTGTTATCTGGATTGAATCTCCCTCCCCTTCCGAGGGAAGCTTTTTTTTGACTTTCAGAGAACGTGTCTGCCTATCATATGCCTGTGAAAATTCCCACAGTGAAACTGCCAATAATTATATCGGACTATGAGCAAACACATCAGCTAAGACTTGCATTTGACAAGGCTGTTCCATAAACAACCACATTAAATATATTTCCATTTGATCTAATGCTGGCACTTCAATGGGCTTCCCACGATTATTTTAAAGTGCAGACTGTTACTGTACAAGCATAAATATATAGGTTATGTATCATACTGCAGCCTTCTAAACCAAAGTTTACAAGGCATCCATCTGATCAACCTGGTCTGACTAACAATCCTCCTGATAAATTGGTAGCATACACTTCAGGGCTGTTTGTGGGAGCTTGCTGTGCTCAAAATACACATAAAACCCTTAGCTGTACTGCACAGATATGTTACTGCACTTAACAGAAATCGACTGTCAAGGGCTTTGAGACATTGAACTCTCCGATACCAGCGGCAATTAACTCTTTCCATTATATGGACAAAAGGTCTTTGGACAAAATTTGGGAAGTTTCATAATGCATTTACTGTCATCACGTTGAATGCCAGAAGTTTAATTGGGAACATGGCGGGGGGGATGCTGGGCATGTGGTATTATCACTTAGTGATATTATTATATCAGGCAAAAGTAATCTAAAGTAGTAAATAACTATCACAGGCTTTATTATCGACCTGCTGACACCCACTTATCTACCTGTCCCTTTCTGCATGTCCGTGTAACCCTCTGTTCCACCATCACCAATCATGCTTTCAGTCACTACATCCCAAACTCTGGAATTCTCTCTCTGAATCCCTCCAGTTTGCCCCCTCCTTACGCATCATCAGATCACACCAGAAGACTTCCCTCTTCCAGCGTGCCTGCGGTCAACTCCCCTTCTCTCCCTGACTCGCCATCAAGCTCCGCCACTGTTAAGCTCTCCGAGACTCTACCCTGTATGAAGGGCACTATGCAAATGCAAGTTGTTATTGTTGTTGTTGGGGGAGGTTTGCCCGTGAGGTCTATTGTGCTTTTGATTAAATTTTGGGATCAATATGATAATTATCACTGGTGATAATATCACATGCCGTATTCCCCTCTCCAACCACTTTCCCACCTGTGTGTTTAGAGATATTAGTTTGAAAGGGTAGCAACCAGGATTAGTTAGGTTATCTCTTTATTTAGGGATTGAGAGAAGGGGAAGGGAGAGAGATAAAGGAAAGTCTCACAATTGCACAACAAAGAGGACCATAAGTAATAATAATCATCTTTGCATTTGATATAGCGCCTTATCACATCGTTGAGAACGTCTCAAAGCGCTTCACAGAATATACTGTAAAGTGGATTGACTGTGTATTTTGTGGGCAAAACGCAGCAGCCAATTGCGCACAGCAGACACACAAACCAGAAGCAACTCAACAGGATTCGGGTCAAATTATAATTTAATTAAAAAGACAGAAGTGTCATTGTACGATTAATTGAACATTGGCAGAAAATGTTGTGCCATAAGGACTGAGAGGCTTGGCATTGCTACAGTTGCCCACGTGAGGTTTAAGAACGGGCCTGAACATAATCCATGATGTACGTCATAGCCAGCCAGGTCTCCTGGGCAGTCGGGATAATCTGTTCGGGTGGCAGGAGGAAGCCATGGTAGCCGGTGTCACGCAGTTCAAAGGCGAAGGAATACTGAATGCCCATGTCATAGGTCCAGTCAATGCTGCCTCCACTGGCCTGGTCTGTAACACAAAATAATTGAAAGCGAGTGAGATAAGGGGGATGGAGAGGCAAATTGCAGCACATAATATTGTCACCGATGATAACCACATCAACCAAAATGGGGTGGGGTTTGGTGGGGGCGGGTGGGGGCTTTCATCCATAACTCATAGCTGTTTGTTGAACGTGTTTTTGTTTTTCTTAAAAGAAAAACAGCTTCAAAGTTAATAAAATCAATAATAATAATACTTACCTTCAGATTGCATTTAAGAGTTTAATGCTAAGTCTGAATGCTCTGAAACACTACATAAATAACGAAAAATTACCCCAGGTGGAATTTATTAGAAATTGAGAGAGACAAAGAAAATAATATGGAAGGCGAGAGGGTGTTGAATTTAACAGCAAATATATCAAGATTTAAAATATATCAAGGGTGGAAAACAAGGGGTGAATGCATTGAAAGTGGGTACAGGTGTGTCAGGTGTGAATTGTACAAATCAGATGCTCTGAATGATCTTTCTTTGTTTACATCTAAAGATGCTGTGAAAGACAAAGCACCTCTGGACTTCACAGCTCTGAATAATGACACATACTGGCAAAGCATCAGAAAAAGATTAGCTTCAGGAAAAGAAATACGGTGAACAGAAATGTACTGGTTAGGATTGGGAGCAGGCGATTTACCAGAGAATCAAAGTGTTTCCGTGTGGGGCAAGGTTCTTTAACTTACAGATTGTGTCACAGATGGTTCCTGTTCTGTAGCGAGTTCCATAAAGGGAAGATAAATCAGCAACAGCAGACGAGGCGATCGCAGCCTACAAGGAACGAGAGAGATCAGACCCTCAACAATGATTTACAATCTCACCCACCGTTTGCCCGAAGCCTGTTGGCAGCACTGAGCAGTTACCCCAACGCACACTCTGGAGTCCGCAAGCCATGGCTCTCGACAACCTGCACCACAGTAGTTAGAGCACTCGCCTCTCATGCGAGAGGACCTGGGTTCGATTCCCGGGCAGGGCGAAGTTCTTCTGCCTTCCGAGCAGCGAGTAGGAACCCGCTGGTTAGTCGATTGGCAGAACGCTTTCCAGGGGTAAAATCCCTCAAAAATGATTAGAATTATGTGGTTTGCGGGACACTGCTGTGCGCAATTGGCTGCTGCATTTCGCCCACAAAACGCACGGACACTGCGCTGTACAGGGTATTCTGTGAAACGCTTTGAGGTGTCTCGAAGACGTGATAAAGAGCTATATAAAATGCAAGGCTTATTATTATTATGATTATTATTATTATCATCATTAATACTTTCTGGAATGAGGTAAGCAGGACGTGTCCCTCCAGGGAGAGAGGACACATTCCATTCCAACAACCTATCAGTGGAATCCTAAGTTTGGTTTGGATACTCTAAAGCATGGTGATGAGTTTCAGACTCCTGACGGATCAAAGACACAGAACAGGCTGGGGCAAAAAGAGGCACCTTGAATGTTAAACTACATTATGCAATAAAACCACTGCTGTGACTTACCAGCTCATAGTAACTGGTAGGTGGGCTGCACTTGTATCCATAGGGAAACATGAGCAACTGGGAGTAACTGTGGATGGTAATGAAGCTCTTGATGTTTCTATGCTCCAATACAAAGTTGACAATGGCCTGCACCTCTGGTTCAGAGTGAGCGTGTGTCCCTCGGTACGTTTCCAAACATGGGTTGCCACTCGTGCCGGGACCTGTTGAGAGAGCATCAGATGGCACTTTGTGACATGAATTGCCATTGAGTTCCTCATCCATCATAAGAGCTTAAGAATTTGCTAGACGAAAGAAGACCAAGGTCCATTCGGTTCGCCTTCCACCATCCTGGCAGTCGCCTGCACATGTCGTGTCCCAAACGATATAAGGTATCCCAAGATATTATTTCCTGAAAGAAATCTATCTAATTTGCTTTTGAAAGAATCAACACTTTTTGCTTTCACCGTCTCCCTAGGGAGCCTGTCCGTACATTTACTATTCGCTCACTGAAATATGTTTCCGCAGATTTGTTTTGAGTTTACCCCCGTTTTCAATCGGAGGCTATGTCCTCTAGTTCTACTGTTCTGGACAAGATAAAATAGCTTATTCAGCAGCCCAGAAGGTGACAGTGTGATTCGAAATGCACTGCTGATAAAAGGGATAATGCAGTTGGCATCTCATCGGACAACTTTCTCCCAAGTAAACATTTATCCAGCTGCTTTTTGAAGGCGCTACATCAAGTGCAAGGATTATTATTACTATTTATGAATTTGTTCATGGATGGTCCCTCTACGATCCAGGAACAGAAACCCTACAGGAACACAAGCCCTACAGGCAGTAAGCAGCTTTGCATTTGCACCTCCATACCTCCAAATCCAGCATCAAAATTCCTATTGGCGTCAACTCCAACACAGCTGCTTCCAGAAACCTTGGACCTGGTCTTACGCCACATTCGATTCTGCGAAAATACAAATCATCAGAGCATGAACATCACAGGGACCTTCCCCTGTTCACAACTGAGATGCATAGATGTTGTTAGGTCAGGGTATTAAGGGATATGGGATAATTGGAGTTGAGGTACAAATCAGCCATGATCTAATATGATGGCAGAACAGACTCAAAGGGCTGAATGGCCTACTCCTGTTCATATGCTCCAGGGCCAACTCCCCAAAGCACTTCTCAATGGAGCCAAATCATTTAGTGTGGCAGACCTTATACCTCCTGTGTTTAAATTTACATCCATGTTATTATGGGACCATTTTCTCCTGATGAGTTGTGTGGCCCTCAGCTTCTTCTGTGGGGTCTATACCCTTCGCAATGCTAAAATGCAATGCTATGAAGTCTGTTTGGTACTATTTGTAGAGATCCAATTTCCTCTGCGCTAGTCTGGGGCTCTGCATACTGTGTGTGCGGGGGTGGGGGGAGCTATCAAATGCCAATGGAAACACAGAAGATCTGAAGACGACTATCTTAAAATGTAATATAGTGCAGAACTTTTGGAGGTTGTTAGGTTTTCCAAAAGCCATCCCATGTGGGAACAGGCTAATATCTTGCAACCAAAAAGACCTTTTGAGGCAATTTAGTTTGGAAATACAGTACAATTTGTAGCGGGTGGGCAGAGAGATACACATGTGATGCAGCTTCCAATGTAGGTTAGCAACCAAGGATGAGTAGAGGCCAAACCCTGGGCAGATGACTGCAGTTTGTGTGACCCAGCACGGATGACTGACCTTTGGTGTTACCCAGCACAGAGTACTGCAGCTCGGAGCCCTGGTGCACTTACCCTGCTGTGAGTGTAAAGGTAGCCGTCCGGGTTTACCACTATCTCCATGAAGACATCCATTTTGTTGAGCAGTGAAGTGATGGCAAAGTCAGAGCCATATTCAGACGCCATCTAGCCACCAAGCCACGAAGGTGATGGAAAGAGAAGAATTTAAAACGCAATGAGCGGAGGGTTTATTTTTGTTATTTTTGTTATTTTCCTCCCAGTTATATAAACATAATATGTATTGTATTTGCTAAAAGCAGTGACTTGTGCAGCATTACAGTTCCAGACAGCCAGGCCAACTTCTAGTGCCTTACCCAACAACAACAACCACAACTTGCATTTATATAGCGCCCTCCACGCGGGGTAGGGTCCCGGAGTACTTCAGGGTGGTAGAGTCTGATCCCGAGCCAGGGGGAGAGGGAGGGGGGAGGTGACCGTAAGCACGATCAAAAAGGAAGGTCTTTGGGCGGGATTTGAAGTTGGGGAGGCAGGGGGCAAGGCGGAGGGATTGAAGGAGAGAGTTTCAGAGTTTCGGGGCCTAGTGGCTGAGAGATCAGAATACTTGAACACTGCGTTACCTTTTTGGCCATCCAGATTGCACTGGCTGGAGACACCCATTCACGAGCGTGGATTCCGCTATCAATCCAGATAGCTGGCCGACTGGCTCCACCAGTGCTGAACTGTCAGAGGCAAATGGTTACTTTTTTTTGTAAAAAAAAACGAAATATATGTTTATTCAGAGACGGAATACGTACTTACACGTATCTCAAAGAAACATTTTTTGAGACAGAGAAAAAAAACCGCAACTCTCACTATTTCTCATTACAAACCCAACCCGCTTGTGGCCTCCGGGCACTCCATTTTGGTAGAAGCACCAATGCTTCCCCTAACTTGGGGTTCTGCCCCACTTTGCTGGGCGTAGTTACCAGATGGGTCTTGTACACTCTCCCTGTTGTCTCTCTGTGTCTCTCTGTTTCTCTCTGTGTCTCTGGGTCTTTGTGTCTCTCTGTGTTTCTGTGTGTCTCTGGGTCTCTGTGCATCTCTGTGTTTCTGTCTCTGAGTCTCTGTGTGTCTCTCTGTGTCTTTGAATCTCTGTGTGTTTCTGTGTCTCTGTGTGTCTCTGAGTCTCTGTGTGTCTATGAGTCTCCGTGTGTCTCTGAGTCTCTGTGTGTCTCTGAGTCTCTGTGTGTCCCTGTGGCTCTCTGTGTCTCTCTGTTTTACAGGTTCACGATACACAGCAAGTGCACACACTTTAGGGATGATCCTTTTTAAATACAATGGGGAACATCCCTGTGTGGACGACATTGTGCACACGTTGCACACACCCTGTTACAAATAATCGTGGATTGAGTGATCAAATTATTATTATTTTTTTGAAGGGATGATTACCCCCAGGAAAAGCGATCCGCCAATCAACTAACAACCAGGTAAACAGAGGGGTGTGGAGTAAGGAAACTTGCCTGGCCCAGGCAAATAACAAAGGAAGGGAAAGAAAGTACATATTCTGACCAAACTAAAACATATGCTTAGGTATCCCTGAGAGTGGATCTCGAACAACTCAACAGCTGACATCTGACCATTGACTAGAGTCAGTGAGATCTACCTTCAACACATAGAGGGGCTGGTATTCGGTCGAGCTACCAATCTGCTGCTTCGTTACCAGGTTCGGGTAGTCAGCCACCATCTCATCCATCCAGTAGTAGATCTGAGATATGTAGAAAACACATTGAAAATTGCATGTTAATGCTCCACACTACAGCATGAAGAGAAGTTAAATGAGCAAATAAGGAAACATAAAACAAAAAAAACATTCAGGTCACCAACTCTCTCCTAGTTTCTACATTTCATAACACATTCAATGTGATTAGTTCCTCCCTGAGTCCCAGCAGAATGAGATGTCTCATTGACAATGTTGGCTGGTGAGCGTGAAACAAATGACTACGTACCTCTTGGAGAGTATGATAAGTGCCATAGTTGAAGCTGCCAGTAGAGCGTTCCATCATTGACAAGTTCTCCAGGACAGATTTCTCTCTTTGTATCATCGTCTGAAAATAAATAATATTAATAATCCTTGCATTTGCTACAGCATTGTTAAAACATCTCAAACGTTTCACATAATATACTATCAGCTGCTGCCATGTAACTTTCACTTCATTTATAATCAAATGTATTTTGTCAAACGCGTTGAGATAATAATAATAATAATCCTTGCATTTGATATAGCGCTTTTCACGTCGGGACGACGTCCCAAAGCGCTTCACAGAACACACTGTAAGTGCATTAACTGTATATTTGTGGGCGAACGCGGCAGCCAATTGCGCACAGCAATGTCCCACAGACAGTCGTAGATTGAAAATGACTAATTTATTATTGGTTTTGGTTTTGGAGGGATTATTATTAGGTGTGTGGAGTAAGGAAACTTGCCCAAGGTTTCGCCCACTGCCTGGAATTGAACTCAGGTTTTTCGCTTGCAAAGCGAGTGCTCTAACCACTGAGCAACAGGACTCCACATAGATGTTTATTTTTAAATGAATGGTGCTGTACATCAATTCAAGTTATTTCCATTACTATCGTATGTTATGGTGTATGCTTCCCAGACCAAAAACAACTTCATTGATATCACTCCCTCAGTTAATATTAATAATAATAATAATTCTTGTGGGCAAATGTAGCAGACAATTTACGCACAGCAATGTTCCACATTCAGCCATGGTGTGAATGACCAATTTTATCTGGAATGTTGTTGGTCAGGACACTTGGAGAAACACCCTGCACATTTCCAATAGTACCAACTTCTTGTCCGAAAGAAGGCATCTCCAAAAATGTAGCCTGACCCGTGTGCTGCAGCCTAGACTGTGACTTCATTGTTACAATGCAAGGCTTCAATCCACAACCTTGAGTCTCAAAGGCAACTGAGACAGATTGAACATAGGAACATAAGAATTAGGAGCAGGAGTAAGCCATTCGGCCCCTTGAGCCTGCCCCACCATTCAATAAGATCATGACTGATCTTCTAACCTAACTCCATCTGCCCGCCTTATCCCCATATCCCTTAATCCCTCTATCCTTTAGAAACCTATCAATTTCAGTCTTGAATATGTTCAAGGACTGGGCATCTACAGCCATCTGGGGTAGAGAATTCCATAAATTCAATACCCTCTGAGTGAAGAAGTGTTTCCTAAACTCTGTTCGAAAGGGCTGTCCCTTAATCTTAAGACTGTGATCCCTAGTTCTAGATTCTCTTACCGGAGAAATAGTCTTGCACTGTCTACTCTGTCAAGCTCCATAAGAATCTTATATATTTCTATAAAATCACCCATAATTCTTCTATATTCTAGGGAATATAGGCCTAGTTTACTCAACCTATCCTCATAGGTCAACCCCCTTATCTCAGGAACTAACCGAGTGAATCGATGCTGCACCCCCTCTAAGGCGAGTATATCCTTTCTTAAATAAGGAGGCCAAAACTGCACACAATATTCTAGGTCCGGTCTCACTAAGGGCCTATACAGTTGCAGCAAGACTTCCCTACTCTTGTATTCTAACCCATTTCCAATAAACGCCAACATGCCATCAGCCTTCCTCGTTGTTTGCTGTATCTGCATGCTAACTTTTTGTGACTGGTGTACAAGGACACCCAAATCCCTCTGAACACTAACACTATCTAGTCTCTCCCCTTCTAGCAAATAATCTACTTTTTTGTTTTTACTATCTAGGTGAATAACTTCACACTTCCACACAGCATATTCCATCTGCCACCTTCTTGCCCACTCACCTAGCCTATCTATATCCCTTCGCAATCTTTTTGTGTCATCTTCAGAGCTTAGTCTCCCACCTAGCTTAGGATCATCCACAAATTTAAATATTTTAAGTTCTATGTCATCATCCAGATCATTGGTATAGTTTGCAAATAGTTGAGGCCCAAACACTGATTCTTGTGGCACTCCACTAGTCACATTCTGCCAATCTGAGAAGGTCCTGTTTATCCCTACTCTCTGTTTTCTTCCCGTTAGCCATTTTTCGATCCATCTAATATATTGCCTTTAATTCCATGTCCCCTAATCTTGTATAGCAGCCTTTTATGTGGTACCTTGTCAAACGCCTTCTGAAAATCTAAATATACTACATCTACTGGTTCCCCCCTATCTAACCTGCTATTTACATCCTCAAAAAACTCTAAAAGATTTGTTAAGCATGATGTCCCTTTTGTAAAGCCATGTTGACTCTGCCTAATCATATTGTGGTCCTCTAAGAACCCCACTACGACCTCCCTAATTAAGGATTCTAGAATCTTCCCTACCACTGATGTCAGACTGATTGGTCTATAGTTCCCCATCTTCTCTCTCCCACCCTTCTCCAATAGTGGTGTTACGTTTGCGATCTTCCACGCTTATTGACATCTGCTGATAACATCAGACCTTGCAATTTTTGATTCCAGTTACTTTCTACCTGAGAGAAAATTCACCACCACTAGGTTCAGGGCTTGAGGGGTATGTGATGCACATAGGCATGGTTTATTGGTGGCATTTGATGCACTAGTTATTAATCTTAAAGCACACACCTGAAGGTCCTGAATCATGACACTATAGTGGACGCTGTTTGACTCCAAAAAAGCTTTGAAGGCCTGAAGACTTCCTCTTGGAACCCGAATGTCCATACTCAGGTCAAATTTCATGGGACGGCGCCAAAAATCAAGCTGGAAGGGAAAAACAATAATAATAATAATAATAATCTTTGCATTTGATATAGTGACTTATCATGTCTTCGAGACGCCTCAAAGCACTTTTGTGGATGAAACGTGGCAGTCAATTACACATAGCAGTGTCCCACAAACAGTCGTGGATTGAGTGACCACATTTTTTTGGTTTTATTTATTTTTTGAAGGGATTATTACCCCTTGGTTCCATGATAGCCAATGATCTTATTGAGTTTGCAGAATCACCCTTCACCATGATCAAGCACTCACAGGACAGTTAAGTAATAGCCAGCCACAGACTAAACCGCCAGCTCCATCTGACTCAAATCTTCTTTATTTTTCCCATATTACTGTCTGTAATCATTCCCAGGTACACATTACTCTGTGTATTCATTCCTAGCTACACATTACTCTCTGAATGTTGTGGCAGGGATCAAGTTAAAATAATATAATAATAAGATGAATAATCCTTGCATTTGATATAGCGCCTTATTATGTCGTTGAAACATCTCAAAGCGCTTCACAGAATACACTGTAAAGTGAATTGACTATATTTTGTGGGCGAAACAATTTCAGCCAATTGCACAACAGCAAAGTCATGGGTTGAGTCATGGATTGAATGACCCAATTTTTTTTTTTAAATGTGCTTATTATCCCCGTAAAAGCAATCTGCCAATTGACTGACAACCAGGTTTCTACTTACTGCTAGGTAAACAGTGGGATAAAGAAACTTGCCCAACATTTCATCCCACCTGTGGATCAAATCCAGGTCCTCTCACTTGCGAGACTAGCGCTCTAACCAATATGCTACAGGACATCATCGACTTAAACATAGATGTACCTGTAGGTGCTCCAGATGCTCCAGGGACATGATCAGGCTGGCCTGCTCCTGATCTTTGGCCGTGATCCTGAATACCTGGTGACTGAACAAGAATGTCACTAACACCTTTTATTTCAATCTACTTTCATTGGCATTTTATTTTGACAGTTATTATTAAAGTAAAGAATCGGGGTATTTCTTTTCCATATCGTACAAGTTAGCTCACATGGTTACAGTACGGATCGGGGAATATTAGAGTTACTGTACTTTATACAACTACTTCAGAACTTCCGAAAGTAAAACCTTTCAAACTCACATCACCAGGAGAAAGCACCTAAACCGATATCAACTTCAGTATCAAAACTGTATATATTGGATTACAACAACAAGTTGCATTTATGTAGCACCCTTCACGCGGAGCAGTGTCCCGGAACACTTGGACATTAGATGAACACTTGTGTTTTCACATCAGCGAAACAATAGTTTAACTCCATCACCCCTGATACCCCATTACACATCTTGCCAGACAGCGATATCAATGGCAATCTAGTCTGATTATATGAGCTAGTATTTAGGAACCTATTTGAAAACACACCCCTTTTACTATAGAATCATAGAATCATAGAATTGTACAGCACAAAAAGGCCATTCGGCCCATCGAGTTTGTGCCGGCTCTTTGAATAGAGCAATTAATGTCAAGCCCACTCCCCAGCCTCTTCTCCATAACCCTGCAAACCCGTCCTCTTCAAATACCCATCCACCGCGTTTTTAAAAGTAGTTATCGAATCGGCCTCGACCACCCTTTCAGGCAATGCGTTCCAGATTCGAACAACTCGCTGCGTGAAAAAATTTCTTCTCACCTCTGCTCTGCTTCTTTTGGAGACTATTTTGAATCTGTGACCTCGAGTCACCAACAGACCCACCAGTGGAAACTGTTTTTCCCTTTCTAACCTATCAAATCCCCTCATGATTTTGAAGACCTCTATTAGGTCTCCTCGTAACCTTCTCTGCTCCAATGAGAATAATCCCAGTCTCTCCAGCCTTTCCTCATAATCAAGGTCCCTCATTCCTGGTACCATCCTCATAAATCTCCTCTGCACCCTTTCCAATGCCTTAACATCCTTCCTATAGTGTGGTGCCCAGAAATGGGCGCAGTATTCCAACTGAGGCCTAACCAGTGTTTTATATGGGTTAATCATAACCTCCTGACTCTTGTACTCTATGCCCCTATTTATAAAGCCTAGTATGCCATATGCCCTTTTTACAGCCTTATCTCCCTGTCCTGCCACCTTCAAGGATTCATTTACCTGCACCCCCAGGTCTCTTTGTTCTTTTACCCCACTTAAGATTGTATTACCAGCCTATATTGCCTCCCCTCATTCTTTCTACCAAAATGCATTACCTCGCATTTCTCCACATTGAAACTCATCTGCCATGTGTCTGCCCATTTTACCATTCTGTCTATGTCTTCCTGCAGTTGGCTACTATCCCTCTCACTGTTTACCACCCTACCTAACTTTGTGCTGTCCGCAAACTTGGAAACGGTGCTTGCTACGGCCAGGTCCAGATCATTTATGTATATTAAGAAGGGCAGTGGTCCTAATACCGATCCCTGGGGAACGCCACTGTACACTTCCCTCCAGTCAGAAAAGCAGCCGTTCACCACAACTCTCTGCTTTCTGTCTCCCAGCCAGTTCTGGATCCATGCTGCGACTCTCCCTTTTATACCATGAGCTTCTATCTTTCTTACAAGTCTTTCATGTGGCACTTTGTCAAATACCTTTTGAAAGTCCATATAAACTACATCAACTGCACTACCTTTATCCACCCTCTCCGTTACCTCATCAAAAAATTCTATTAGATTTGTTAGACAAGATTTGCCTTTAACAAATCCATGTTGGCTGTCCCTAATTAACCCATATTCTTCTAAGTGAAGATTTATTCTGTCCCGGATTATAGTCTCCAGGAGTTTCCCCACTACTGATGTTAGGCTGACTGGCCTGGAGTTCACAGGTTTATCCTTCTGTCCCTTTTTGTACAGGGGAGTAACATTGGCCACTCTCCAGTCCTCTGGCACCACTCCTGTGTCCAACGAAGATTGAAAAATTGTAGCCAAAGCCTCCGCTATTTGTACCTGTGCCTCCCGTAGTAATCTTGGTTGCATCCCGTCCGGACCGGGCGACTTATCTACCCTCACCGCAATCAACCTTTTCAGTACGTCCTCTCTGTTTATACTTATCCTATCCATTTCCTCTACCCTCTCCTCCGATACTGCAGCATTTGGTGCATCCACTTCTTTTGTGAAGACAGATGCAAAGTACTCATTCAGCACATGAGCCATGCCCTCTGCCTCCACAATAAGATTTCCCCCTTGGTCCTTAATTGGCTCCACCCTACCATTGACTAGTCTTTTATTCTTGATATGCTTGTAAAACATTTTAGAATTTCCTTTGTTACCGCTAACCTTTTTTGTATAATCTTTTTGCCCCTCTTATTTCCTTTTTCAAACCTCTCCTGCACTCCCGATATTCTATTTGGTTGTCTTCTGTATCTTGGGTTTGACATTTGTCATACGCCTCCTTTTTCTGCTTCATTCTAGATACAATTACCTTCGTCATCCAGGGAGGTTTGGAAGCCCTACTTTTCCCTTTTGTGGGAATGTATTTATTCTGTCCCCGAGCTATCTCATCCTTGAAGACTTCCCACTGCTCTTCAGTTGTTGTACCTGCTAATCTTTCTTTCCAGTCCACCTTGGCTAGGTCCCTTTTTAACTCACTGAAATTTGCCCTCTTCCAGTTGAACATTTTCACCTTAGATGGTTCCTTGTCTCTTTCCATATGCACTCTAAATCTAATGATGTTATGATCACTATTCCCCAGATGCTCTCCCACTGAAACCTGCTCCACTTACCCTACTTCATTCCCCAGAACTAGATCTAGCACTGCTTCCTTCCTCGTTGGGCTGGAAACATACTGATCAAGAAAGTTGTCCTGTATGCATTTTAGGAATATTTCCCCCTCCTTGCTATTTGCGCTGTTGTTTTGCCAGTCTATGTTGGGATAATTAAAGTCCCCCATTATCACGACTCCATTGGCCTTGCATCTGTCTGAGATCTGCTTGCAGATCTGCTCATCTATTTCCTTCCCACTATTTGGTGGTCTATAGTATACCCCGACCAGCGTAACAGCTCCTTTTTTGTTCCTTAACTCTAACCAGATAGATTCCGTTTTGGGGCCCTCCAGCACCTTTCCACGGCTATAACCGTATCCTTGATTAACATTACCACACCCCCTCCTTTTTTTTCCCTCCCCTATCCCTCCTGAATACATTATAGCCAGGAATATTCAGCTCCCATTCCTGTCTTTGCTTGAGCCAAGTCTCTGTTACTGCTGCTACATCGTATCCCCCTATGACCACTTGTAGCCTGCAGCTCACCAATCTTGTTTGCTAAACTCCGTGCACTTAGGCACATGCACTCCAAGACCGACTTGACCTGTTCTGCACTTTCCCCCCTGTTTTTTTCTCCATTTTCTAACTCTTCGTTTTTTGCATTCCCTTCCCCCCTCAAAACTAGTTTAAACCCTCCCCAACAGCATTAGATAGCCTGCCTGCGTTAGACAACAACTCACCCTTCAAAATCTTCCTGGCTGTAAACAGCCACCAACAGAGCACAGAACACCCAAAGCCTACTCATGGTGAAGACTTGTAGAAAGGCACAAACTGCCGGGTCGCTATTTAAAGGGAACGGATGAGTGCGAAGGCAGTCGTCTGTTGCAGAGATTAATAGCACCACTAATCAGTAGGACAGATTTCACATGGAATAATTCCCACACATCGAAATTGCTCGTGTCAAAATATTGTTTGTTTTATCAGCATAACCTTGATGATTCTGAATACTGTTTTTTTTAACAAATGTTCACACCCTACTTCCCCATTCCTCTCTTGAAGGTGCTTTCCGTCTGGGGGGAGTAATAATGAGTTGCCATTGTGGGTTTCAACATTCCATGTCATGCATCCCATTTGAGACATTGCTTTCAGGAGACAAGGGGAGAAAATGAAATGGGAAAATCCTCGCCCGACTCCACTGGCTTCCCATCACACAGAAGGCACGGTCGAAGAGGAGGGTCTTGAGATGGGTCTTGAAGGAGGCAAGGGAGGGGACGAGGTGGAGGGACTGCAGGATGGAGTTCCGCAGGGCGGGGGCAGAGTGGTGGAAGGCCCGTCCTTCAATGGTGGGGCAGGCGAGGCAGGGGCCGGAGCATGCTGAGCGGAGGGAGCGGGCAGGTTGGTAGGTGGTAGGAGGGAGCAAGGCCATGGAGGACCTTGAAAATGAGGACCGGGATCTTGAACTGTTTCCTCAGTGTGATGGGAAGCCAATGGAGTCAAGCGAGGATGGGGGTGATAGGGTCACGGAACCTGGGAGCCGATATGGGCTGCAAAGTTCTGGATGATCTGCAGCCTATGGAGGGAGGAGTTGGGGAGGGCAACAAGCAGGGAGTTTGCATAGACGAGCCTGTATGTTATGAATGGTTGCATAAAGGTTTTGGCGGCCTGCATTGTGAGACAGTGGTGGAGTCGGGCGATGAGGTGGGAGAAGACAGAACGGTTTATGGTACGGATGTGGAGTAGAAAGGATAGTTGTGGGCCAAACAAGACGCCAAGGTCTGGGACTGACTTAGTGAGGTGGAGTGTGCGTCCATGGATGGTGATGCTGTCAGCGCCTGAGATGTGGAGGCGCTGACGGGGGCCAATCAGGGCGTCCTCGATCTTGTTGACATTTAAGTGTAGAAAGTTAGTTCTCATCCAGGACTTGATGTCCGACAATGTCACCAAGGGGGAGCATATAGATGTTGAAGAGGAGGGGTCCGAGTCCAAGCGGGCGAGAACAGAGAAATGTCAGCGAGGAGGGTACGTGCCCCGGGCAAGGAACAAAGTAATAATAATAATAATAATAATAATCCTTGTGTTTGGTACAGCGCCTTATCACGTCTTCGAGACGTCTCAGAGCTCTTCACAGGAATAGATGCACTGTGAGGCGAATCGATTGTGTATTTTGCGGGTGAAACGGGGCGGGGGTCCGGGTGGGGGTGGGTGGGGGTGGGTGGGGGTAGGTGGGGGTTGGGGGTGGGGGTAGGTGGGGGGGGGTGTGGGGGGTGGGGGTGGGGGGTGGCGCAGGCGGCCGATTGAAGAAGAGAGTGAACGGAGTCCGGTGGGGACGATGCACGTGAGTGACTGTGTGACTGACTGACTGACTGGGGGGGGGGGGGGGATCCCTGGCTCTCAGGGCGAGGACCACGTGGCGCCGCCGTGCTTTTTTTTTTCCCGCCCTTTTTTCATTCATTCAAAAAAAAAGAGAGGGAGAAACGGAGACAGAGAGAGAGAGACAAAACAAACAGCTGGGGGGAGGGGGGGCGGGGCCGTGACGTCAGGCGAGTGATGACGTCGGGCGAGTGATGACGTCGGTCGCCGGATGTGACGGACCTGGTTTCCGGTGAGCTCGAGCAGGCAGGCGGGCGGGCGGTTGGACGGGACGGACGGACCGGTCACTCCCTCTCCCTCTCCCCGGTGTTTCCGAGCCCCGAGACCGCGCGGTAAGTGTGTGTGAGTGGCTCTCCCCCCCCCCTCCCCTCTCCCCCCGCCCCTCATCATCCCCCTCCTCCCGGGGGGTTAGGTCACGTCATTCGGCTCCTCGACACGGTGAGGGTGGGTGTCCGGGCCCAGCTCGAGCTCGGGCCGCGGCGGCGGGAAGTTTAAACTTGAAACCGGCCTCTCGCTGGGGCCACACTCGCTGTTGCTGTGGGGCTGACAGTGATCTCCGCTCACACCCCCAGTCATTAGAGCTCCAGCGCCGCGTGTGTGTGTGTGTGGGGGGGGGGATTCAAACAGGGGCTGAACAGAGTTGTTCTGGGTTGACTTAACGTCCCTGTGGCTGTGTGTGCTTGTGCATGTGTGTGTCTGCCTGTATGTGCTTGTGCATGTGTGTGTCTGTCTGTGTGTGCTTGTGCATGTGTGTGTGTGTCTGTGTGTGCTTGTGCATGTGTGTGTCTGTCTGTGTGTGCTTGTGCATGTGTGTGTGTGTCTGTGTGTGCTTGTGTGTGTGTGTCTGTGTGTGCTTGTGCATGTGTGTGTCTGTCTGTGTGTGCTTGTGCATGTGTGTGTGTCTGCCTGTGTGTGCTTGTGCATGTGTGTGTGTGTCTGTGTGTGCTTGTGTGTGTGTGTCTGTGTGTGCTTGTGTGTGTGTGTCTGTCTGTCTGTGCTTGTGCATGTCTGTCTGTGTGTGCTTGTGCATGTGTGTGTCTGTGTGTGCTTGTGTGTGTGTGTCTGTGTGTGCTTGTGCATGTGTGTGTGTCTGCCTGTGTGTGCTTGTGCATGTGTGTGTGTCTGTTTGTGTGTGTGTGTCTGTGTGTGCTTGTGCATGTGTGTGTGTGTCTGTGTGTGCTTGTGCATGTGTGTGTCTGTGTGTGCTTGTGCATGTGTGTGTGTGTCTGTGTGTGCTTGTGCATGTGTGTGTCTGTCTCTCTCTCTCTGTGTGTGGTTGTGTGTATGGGTCTGGCTTGTGACAGGCACAGTGTTGGCCTGACACTGGGGGCAACTTCCACATGTATGCGGATGGAACCCAAATCTACTTCTTCTCCTCCTCAGTTGCGATTCCCAGATCGCTGATGTCCTGTCTGCTTGTTTGACGGACATCAAGGCCTGGATGAGCGCAAATTTCCTGCAACTGAATGTCGGCAAGTCGGAAGCCATAGGCTTTGGCTCCCATCAACGCTTCTCTCCTGCGGATCTGAACTCCTCATCCTCCCCGGGCTCTCCCTCAGAATCTCCGAACTTGTGCGCAGCTTAGGCGTACGGTTCGATCCCCAGCTTTCCTTTGTGTCCCAGATGCGTTCCAATGTCCTCCTCACTTATCTCCCCAGCTCCACCATACACAAAATCTGATTAATTCTCCACCACCCAGATACTCATCCGCACGAAACTCCATATCCCCATCACGCCAGCCCTTGCCAGGCTCCACTGGCTCCTAATCACCGAACGGATTGATTTCACAATTCGCTCACACGTTTTCAAATCACTTCGTTCCCTTGCACCTCCCTACCTATTCGACCTGCTCACCGCCCCACTGCACCACCCGATGCCTCCGCTCGGCTGGCTCCAGCCTCCTATTTGTCCCTCGTGCCCTCCGCTCTACTATCAGTGGCCATGCCTTCAACAACTATGCCCCGAAACTCTGGAACACTCTGACTCAATCCCTCCGCCTCGCCCCCTCCCTCCCACCTTCAAATCCTGCCTAAAGACCTTGGTTTTTGAACCTGCTTACGGTCACCTCTCTCTTCCCCCTGGCTCGGGGTCAGACTCCGCCACTGTGGAGTGCTCTGGGATGCTACCCCACTTGAAGGGTGCTGTATAAATGCAAATTGTTGTTGCCTGTCAGGCCTTCAGGCTCTCTTCGCCCACCCTTTGGAACTCCATCCCACAGTGCCTTCACCTCGATCCCTTACCTCCTTCAAGGCAAGTCTCAAAACACTCCTCTTCAACCATGCCTTAAGTCACCCTCCTACTCCTACGCTCCACCCCTCCTGATCCAAACCCCCAGCTCAGGTCTAATCCCTGATTGTCCAGCACCTTGGGGCATCCTCGTGATATGAAAGGCGCTATAAGAAATGCAATTTGTTGTTGTTGATGCTCTATTTTGCTGTAATGACGTTCCAAATCCCATTTGTAAGAAGGAAAGGTTTAAATTTAAGCTTTCTAAGTTTTCGGTCTGTGTGTGGTTGTGTTCACAGAAATGAATCCATTGGGAGAGAGGGGACCTGGCACGTCCCTGATAGATAGGACCATGAAGATGAGGAAGGAAGCACAAGTCAGGAAAGTTGTGCTGGTGTGGGGTCTGCTCAACATGTCGCTCGCTGGCATGATTTACATGGAAATGTGAGTTGTCTTTCCTCCAGTGTGCTCTGAGATTTTTGCTTATAATAATAATCCTTGCATTTGATATAGCACCTAATCATGTCGTTGATGCTTTTCAAAGCTCTTCACAGGGTACACTGTAATGTGCTGTATTTTGTGGGTGAAATGCGGCAGCTATTGCGAACAGTAATGTCCCATAAGTTTTGTGATTTTGTTTAGAGCAGCAGAACAGAATTGACACGTGGCTTTGAGCTAAAAGAAATACTAACTAATGGCAGAAACCTTGTTATTCAGTCTATATGGCAAAACTTTTTACCAAGTCTTAAAAAGGGAAATTCCAGAAATCCACAGCAGGATATTGACATTTAAGTGAAAAATTATAGTATTTGGGCCTGGTATTTCACCAGAACCTGTGGATTGGTTAATTGGCAGGGTGAAGTGAAAATTACTCATTTAGGAATGGAATAATGGAGAATGCCCAATAAGGTGCTATTGTCCTTTTTTCTGCCATTTAATTTTCCGTGTTATATGAATAATATTAAATAGTACAATACAATTTACATTTATGTAGTGCCTTTTGCGTCGGAGGGGCATCCCAAGGTGCCTAACAATCCTGGCTTGGCACTCAAGCTGGAGTGGGAGCTGACAAGGGGGAGGGGGTAGTTGACTTAAGAGCAGTCAAAGAGATAGATCTTGAGGTGGACCGTGAACAAGGTGAGGGAGGGAACGAGTCGGAGGGAATGTGATAAGGCGCTATAACAAACGCAACTATTACTTGCACAGCATTAAACCATCAGAATTTTAATTTGAATATCCTTGTATTTGAATTTGAAGTCATGTCTTGAATTTACAACCAGCTTTTTAACTTTGCTTTGCAGGACTGGAAAATTGCTGACCAGGTTCTTCAACGTTACATACTGGCTTCTGTGGTATATTGGTAAGAATCCTAACACTTGGAGAAAAGTGGGTGCTTGTTTGAACCTCTTAGATTAGCAGAGAAGTATATGCATTTCAGATGTCAGATTGGCTCAGTTGGTAGCACTCTCAGTTCTGAGTCAGAAAATTGTGGGTTCAAGTTGTCTGAGGTGCTATCCTTTAGCTAAAACGTTAAAACAAGATCTCATCTGCCTCATCTATTTGAAAAGAGGTGTCTCAGGTGTGTTCTGGTCAACAAATCCTCCAGTTAAATTGATCATTCTCTTCATGGCTGTTTGTAGGACATTACTGTGCACAAATTGATTCCCATTTTTGCCTACAAATACAGTATCACTGCATTTAATAGTAATTACTATAAAGAGCACATTGAGATGCTTTTCAACATGTTGAGGGACTAACAAATGCAAAGATTACTTACCACAATGGACATTACAGGTTTTTTTACACAAAATCATTCCTTTCAAATAAATATTGCCTTCAGGACAAGCTGAAACATTTCCTAAGCACCAGAGATTGTATTCAGACAAAAAAAAAAGTTCTGAGAAATAACCTAACAGAATTGCTTCTCCCTAAGAGGATGTGTTATTTTAGTGCTGTGTATTTTTCTGTTGCAGAATTTGGGCTGATTGTTTTGTTTAGCCTGAACGCAATGTTTGACTTCTGGCGATACTTCAGAAGTACAGTTGTTCCAGTTAACTTGGTCATGAGTCCAGAGCAACAAAGGCTTCTTGGGGTTGGAAATCAAGGTAAGTGGGTTTTTTTTATATATGACTAGAAGGAATTAATAATATTTTAAAGGTGTTTGAAACAACAATTTACATTTATGTAGTGTCGTTTGTGTCAGGAGCACGCCTCAAGGCTTCACACAGCCAATGGGATCCCAAGCTTGGTGGGGCGGTGGGGGGTGCAGGTTTGAAGAGAGAGAAGGAGGGAACAAGGTCGAAAGATTCTCAAATGAAATTCCAGGGTGCATAAGAAAATAAGAATTATTTTAATCTTTTCTGCATTAAATATAAAAGTATTTACTTTTGTACTTGCTCATTCCACAGCAATACAGACAACTCCGCAAGAGAAACCGGCAATTGCCACCACTCCCAACTCTTCCCCCTCGAGCCTCAGCCAGGGACAGAATGTTCTGTCCTACAGCCCATCACGCCCCCTCGGATCCAGTCCTAAATTCAATGCTACCTGTATGTCTGGCTTTAGTCCCACATTACAGACACCTTCCCCCATGGGTTGTGGGTCCTTTCCATCATCCCCCGTGATGTATTCACCTGGAAGCACCTTCAGTACGGTAGGAGACAATATCGCTAGTGTCTGTTCGCTTTGGATGTTTTAATAATGATAATCCTTGGATTTGATATAGCGCCTTATCATGTCTCAAAGCGCTTCACGGAATATACTGTAAATGGAATTGACAATTTTGTGAGTGAAATGCAGCAGCCAATTGCGCACAGCAGTGCCTAAGGTTTCACCCTGTCTGGGAATCGAACTCGGGACCTCGCTTATGAGACGCGTGCTCTAACCAATACGGTACAGGACTTCACATTATGCTAAATTTTGTCACATGTATAGCATCCTTCACATTGGAAATATATCCCAGGGAGCTGGACAATCGGGTTTTGGATTACATTAAATTACATTTGATCCCGTAGAAAACTAATGCAGAAAAGACCGTAAGACATGGAAACTTTATGAAAAGTAAACAGAAAACGGGTATCTGGGAAAGTTATTTGTGAAAATCACTCTTTAGTGTGGGCAATATTAAAAGTTTATTACCACCTGTAATATGTCCGCTTTGCACGTAAGCATTTTTTTGTAACCTGACCCTGTTATCTGTCAACAATATGTGATTCATGCTGAGTACTGGTAATTCGCTGTTAGCCCAACCAACTTGCTATTCTTGTATGAGTTTATGCAGTGGGTTCCATTCCATAGCTCTTTTTGGTAGATGCCTTTAAGAAATTCTTAGTTTGTGTTGTGTGGAGATATCCCCCCTCCCCCAAACACACTGCACTGCGGAGGAGTACTATAGAACTGTCCAGGTCATCAACGAGTTGTACACAGAATCTCTTATTTCAGCTATGCATTGTTGAGGAAACCACTCTGCCTGTTATCCTGCACCTCCTAGTGGCTTGTTCAGTATTAGTATAGCATATCCCTGGGAACAGAGCTCTTGGCCTCAAGTGCTGAAAGGAACGAAAAATATATCTTTAGCATCATATCCAGATTATACAGAAAAGTGTATTTACTATCCTCCCCTTAAACTATATGCAGTATTTGGTTTGCAGTTAACACATGTAGAAGGGTTTTCTTACGATACTACAAGAACAATAAATTACACTTGTATAGTGCCCTTCACGTCAGAATGACGTCCCAGAGCGCTGGATACACCCGATTGGCTGCCTTTCTAGTACTGTAGCAGATGGTCTTGTACCCTGACCTTCACAGTCTGTGCGTTCTTCGGATCATTTTCCCGTTCCTACTTTGATGTAGTGGTATTCCATTAAACCCTGTAGCACCTGGTATTGAGTTTTCAGTTTCCCATCTCTGAGGCGCTGGTGATATCTACTATTTAACATTGCACAACCTCGTGATTTGCAGCTCGTGTGATAGAAAGATTCGTGAAACTTAAGCGTTACAGTGCGGAAAGATCAAAGATAAGGGGGCACCACACTGAAATATCACACTTTAATCTCTTCAAATCCACTTCAAACCTAATCTATTGCAGGAATCAGAAACTTGATGAAAAGTAGTTAGAAAACGGGTATCTGGAAAAGTTATTTGCTAAAAGAGGAAAATTAAAAATTTAGCAAGAGAGGAATGGGGGAAAGACCTATGTAGAACAGTATACCAAGCAAGATAATGGAGGCAAAACCATTCAAACTGCAAAGCAGTGCAGTGTTTGGAGAGCTGCATATGATAGCTGCATATGATAGAGAAATAAGGTTTGCTGGACAGAATGGACCTTAAGGCTGTGAAGCTGTTTATTTATTCTTCCTATCCTCCAATAAGGGTTAAAGCCTTCAATCTTCTCTCTGGAACCGTAACAAATTAAATCTTTTGTCTCCATCATGCTACTTGGGGCGTTTTCCACTTTTATCACCACCACTACAAGAAGAGGAGTAGGGGGGGGAAATGCAAAAGCAAATAGATTAATGTGCAACTCTTACTTTACTTTACTTTAATAGCAATGGAAAGAAACCCTTTTCGAATCCTTTGAGCTGACTGTGCTATTAAAATGGATGCTGACAAATTAACAATTTGCAATTTTATTCGTTTTGTGTGATTATCCTTTAGGGTCATGGTTGCAGTCCAGTTCATTGTATATCTTCATACCCGAATAACATTGGATCTACAGAGTGCTCCGGCGTCAGATCCCGTTACCGATCCTCACCCTCTGTGTACAGCATGCCCCTCACAAGAGACGAGTATCTCACAGATATCAGATCTCTGGAGTCCTACCTGCGATCTGAAGAGGAGAAGCACAATCGCAGTCACCAAGGTTAGTTACCCTTTGATTATCTATTTAAAACGCTAGCTTGTTACTGAGCCATACACAGCAGGAAGACCTGGGTTTAATCTCTATTAAATTGTTTAATTGATTAAATCTATGTATTCTTTACACTGCTGTGAGTAATTGGCTGCTGCGTTTCACCCCCAAAAATACAGTCAATCCACTTTACAGTATATCCCTGTGAAGCGCTTTGAGACGTCTCAACCATGTAATAAGGTGTTGTATCAAATGCAAGGATTATTATTATTTAGATTGCTGTTATCTGATCTCTTATGCATCAGAAGCTACAAATGACCTCAGCAGTCCTGAGTTAGGAAAGGAGAAAAACAGTCAGAATCACTTCTGATCCTTATACTTCTGATCACTGTCCAGTGACCCCTGCTGGAAAATGTGCAACATGTAATATGTTGGAGGAGAACAGATTCACCTGTAATCATATGGTATATTTTGTGAAGGGCATTCTCTCGAAGACATAAGGCGCTATATCAAATGAAAGAATTATTATGATTGCTTGCCCTTGCTCTCACTATTTGATATATAATAATGCTTGTGTTTGATATTGTGCTTTTCACGTCTTCAAGAGTCTCAAAGCGCTTCACAGAATATACTATAAAGTGAATTGACTGTATATTTGTGGGTGAAACAGCCAATTGCGCACAGCAGAGTCCCACAAACGGTTGTGGATTGAGTGACCAATTATTATTGCGTTTTTTTTTCTTGAGGGGTTATTATCAGATATACTATAACCTAGGTTCACAAGAATGGATGTTTTGTTTAGGTATCAAAGGGAAGTCAATGTGTATCAGGAAACTTCAGAAACAAGAGAAGGGATAAAATGAGTGGGGGGGGAGATTCCACTTTGAAGATATTTGTATCATGGGAAGTAGAATAAGAATAATGTTAGATGACTGATTTTATATATTAAAAAAAAGAAATGAATTCACCTGATCAATTTTGGGAGCCGAAGTAATTTCCCGTCTCATCTGAATTGTTCAATTTGTGCACATGCAGGAAGTCCTGATTCTGTTGGCTCGATCAACAACCCGACCTTTTGGAATTGCAATCGATCTACAGGAGACTACTCACAATCACTGCGCAAGTTCCAATACCAACTGGCCTCCAGGTCACAAGCTCCCTCAGCCCACAAAGACGAAGCTGACCTGGGATCTAAGCTGGTTTCAGCAGAGGTGCGTAACTGGAGATTCTTGTCATTTCTCGCTGGAGGGTTAGGGTTCTTGTTGCCAACTGCATTTAATAAATAATAATTTTATATAGCGCCTTATCACGTCATTGAAACATCTCAAAACGCTTCACAGAATACACTGTAAAGCACATTGACTGTTTATTTTGTGGACGAAATGTGGCAACCAATTGGTTTTAAAAAGGAGCTCCCATTGCTCACAGGAGGGTGTTGGATTACGTTGAGTGCTCTCTTGAGTGCTTCATGTACTTTTGATTAAACCTCTACCCACCAATATTCAATGAAATGGCCTTTGTCCCATTTCAAAGACATGGCAGGATGTAAAATGTGCACATACCCAATCTGTCTAAAATCCTAGTTTTGACCTTTGCGGTTTGTGCTTTCAGGTGTGGATGAGGCTCAATATGAGTCGTCAGCAGCTTGACCTTGTGGATTCCTGGACAGCAAACCTGAGAAACGTAAGCCAGTGTTCAGTGAAGGTATCATTGTGCAGAACAGGTTAAAAGCCTCGAACTTGAACTGAGTTATTTCCCCAAAACTGAATGCTTTGCCTTCTGCGATAACTACTCAAATTGTGGCTGCTCAGGTCCCAGTTCAGTTCAACAAAAGTGTGCAATTTCACAGGTGCTCGATTCTTCAGGATCTAAAGTTAACCTACAGTATTGTTCAAGAGAACAGTCAGTCTTAGCACACTGCACAACAGCAACTTGCATTTATATAGCACTTTTTTACACAGTACTGGTTGTCTCTTTGTTCCCTAGTCTAGATATACTGAGACGAATGATCATAAATCTAACTGATGCACTAACCGTACAAACCAGAGATCAAACATGGAATGGAACATTCCAGATCAGATGGCTCTAAATCACTAAGAGATCCTATAAATGAAGTAATTCAAGATGTTTGTGACAATCTAGATGTAGTATTTAAAGCACAAAAAATGAAAGGATAATTTTCATCACCATTTACTTTATTTTTAATGATGGTGTTCTCCGTTCATTCTTATATTTTCCAAAGTGTATATACTTTGCAGAGCTAACTCATTGTATCTGTTTGAACATTTTTGGAATCATTTTTGCCTGAATTCTTTCACAAATCTAATTTACGGGACATTTGTTGTTACGACACAAAAATATTGGCTTCTTCCACTTTTTAAGAAGATCTTTTGTTGTTTCTAGTGGATCAACGAGACCATTTTGAATCGTTTGGTGAAAGAGATCGACTGTGTGAACGTGCAGCTGAGGAGACTGGGGTGTCCAGAACTGCAAGTGGGAGGTATGCGGGAGTCCATAGAGTAAACGCAATCAGTGTCTGACGATATAAACTGGCCAGGATCCAGAATAATTTGTTTTCCGTCAGCAGGAGAGATTGAAACTGGCTTTAGATAAATGCCCCATGAAGGGGAGGAAGTGTTGAAAGCATGTGTCCTCGCAATGCTCAGTTTTCACTGGTTTGTGGTGCCAGCTTTGATATTTTTTTTGGGTGGGGAGTTGGAGAAGAGATATTCATAGTCTTCTTTCCCATCTTATCTTGGAGTATCCTGTTAAATGTGGAGTCCTGGTTAGAGCACTCGCCTCATAAGCGAGAGAACCTGGATTTCATTCCCTGAATCCTGAATTCTTGCGTGAAACATTAGGCAAATTTCCTTACTCCACATGGCCTCTGTTTACCTAGTAGTAAGTAGCAACCCAGTTATTAGTTGATTAGTCGATTGCTTTTAATAATCCCTTCAAAAAAAAATTTAAAATAATAATTTGGTCACTCAATCCACAACTGTTTGTGCAACCATGCTGTGCTCATTTCATCCACAAAATATACAGTCAATTCACTTTACAGTATATTGTGTGAAGCGCTCTGAAATGTCTTGGAAGATGTGATAAGGCGCTATATCAATGCAAGGATTATTAAATGAGTGGCAGCCTTCCTGCAGGAAGGTTGGGCCTGTAGGAATTGGTTGAGCCACTGAACTTTCTTTCCCCCTTTCATGCATTCAAACCTGTATCTCGCCACTCTGACAAGCTCTTGCTCCAGTAATACAGAAGCTGCTAGTTTCAAGCGTTTGATCGCAAGGCAAACAAATAGAAAGATTGTCTTTTTTTAAAAAACATGTCTTCCCCTTTGCTCCTTCACAGAAACGAGCATCTGCAGCCTGAGACAGGCTGCACTGGTCAGAGCTCTGCAGATTCCAACACTGAACATGGTTGTCCAGTATCTAGACATCACTCCAAACCAGGAGTACCTAGTGGAGAGGATCAAAGGTAGAGCTAACCCTAATCCAAATAAGAGACGTTTTGGTTTGCTTAAAGCTTGTATTAAAGGTTGTGTGAGTGTGCATAAATATTCATATATATATATATATTTAATTTGTAGTGCCTTGTGGCATCCTCCTGACATGAAAGGTACTATGCAAATGTAATTTTGTATTTATTTTGTATATATATTTGTTTAAATCCATCTTTCATTGCTTTGATATGGAGCACTGCAGTAGAAAGCTGTGTATTGTTGTGCTGTTCTCTGTCCCTCAAGTTGTGCTCTTTGTCTATCCATGTTGAATTCTTAAATAATATGCATGGCTTTAGTACTGTGTTGGAGTGCATGATATTTCCTTTGGAATGATAAGAATTTAAAGTTGCAGTGCACTAAACTCTGTTGGAGTAGCTTTGCTTCACTCCTTTCAAACTGACCGGTAAAACCTACTTGTTTTAAACTAATGTAAACAAACATTGTGATTTTAACCCCTTTGTAAAATTAAGAACCTTCTAAATTTCCGCTACTGAAAAAAAACTTTGTCTCTGACTATAATTTTCCTGACTGGCGTAAATATTGGCTATGTCTTGAGGAGCCTAATTGTTCTGATAATGTTACAAAACTGAGAATATTTAACTGAGACTGAGGCAGGGCCTGAGCCATTTTCTCCTACATCTAGCCATGCTTGATCCTTATGCTGCACAGGAAAGGTTCAATGGCAAACCTTGCATCCATATTTCTCTTAGTAGCTTTATTAACACATTGCATTTGATATAGCGCCTTATCACGTCGTTGAGACGTCTCAAAACGCTTCACAGGGTATACTGTAACGTGAATTGCATTGAATTAATGAAGAGTAAAAGGTGAAAGCTGGAGTGAGTGGTGAGTAACAGACTGGTGGTGTTGATGGGTGTTTTAACTTTCCATTAACTCTGCAGAGTTAGCACACGGTGGTTGTATGAGCTCATTCCGATGGAATGGCGGAGGAGAATACAAAGGCAGGAAGTGGAACACAGACCTACCGACAGACTGCGCTGTGAGTATGGTAGAGGTTGAAAAGATGCATTTTGGTTCCTCATCTGCTTGTTTTCTCTTATTGGTGATTACCATCGGAGACCGGCTGGTTCCTTACAAAACCTTTCTTCACTGAAGATCAGATGGATTGTGTAATAATAATCCTTGCATTTGATATAGCGCCTTATCACTTTGTTGAGACGTCTCAAAGCGCGTCACAGAATATACAGTAAAGTGAACTAACTGTATTTTGTGGGTGAAATGCGGCAGCCAGTATATTCTGTGAAGTACTTTGAGATGTCTCAAGACATGATAAGGCCCTGTATCAAACGCAAGGATTATTATTATACAGAAGCAATTGGGGGGAAGATTTACTTTGGCATCTGGTTTTAATTTTTTTTTAAAAAGTTACACTTCAGAAATTTGAAAACACAAACTTTGCTGTTCATTAATGATTCTTGCATTTGATACAGTGCCTTATAATGTCTTCAAGACTTATTGAAGCGCTCCACAGGATATACTGTAAAGTGTAATGACTGTCTATTGTGTGGGCGAAACGCGACAGCCAATTGCGCACAGCAGCGTCCCACAAACAGTCGTGATTGAGTTACCAAATTTTTTTTGTTGTAGATTATAATGCACATGTTCTGCACCTACCTGGACTCCAGGCTGCCTCCACATCCCAAGTACCCTGATGGCAAAACTTTCACTTCCCAACATTTTATACAGACTCCAGATAAACCGGGTGAGTACTTTTGTGTTATAATATTATATGCTGAACAGGTGAAAAATGCTATTTCATCAGAGTTACAGAGGGTTTAAATACACGTTGAGGTAATGAGGTGTACCGTTTTCTAATGAGCTTTCATTTTACTGCAACTTTGAGTTGTGTTGAGTACAGGTATATCTGTATTGTTCGAATGCATATACTTATTTGCTTTTTGAAATATGTTGACTGTAACNTTTTTTCTGAATTCAGATACGTTGAATGAGCACTTGTTCTGCATATACCAGAGTAATATTCATCCTCCACACTATCAGCTCATCTACCAAGGGCATGTGTACAATTTACCAAAGGTACTAAACCATTCCTGTCTGTTCTCTACCCTCTGTCCTAGTCCTGAGCTCTGTTATGACTTGAAAAAATAAATACGGGAATTCTTTCTTCTGCATATTTTCCTTCACTGAAACTTGCAATGTGATTGTTTTATCCCCACACAAGCTTACATTCTTAAATATCAATGGACTTTCAACTGGCAGCTGTTGGGGCTGATCACAACATAGTCTGATCCAGTCCTTATCCAGATATAGAGATTGCTGGATTGCAATAATTCTATGAAGGGAACTGCCTGTGCAGAAAACATTAGTATGTAATTGGTAAGACTCTTAACCTTATTTATGTTCTTGTTCATCTGTAATCCAACGAAGGTGGCTTCTATCTTACAATGGGGGTGTCAAATGTGTCCCTTGCCTCCTTCAAGGCCTGTCTCAAGACCCTCCTCTTGGACCTTGCCTTCAGTTAGCTTCTACCCCTAACCTCCCTGCACTCCACCCCTCTTGATCCCTACACCCAAAGCTTGGACCCAAATCCCTGACTGTCCACCGTTTTGGGACGTCCTCCCAACACGAAAGGCACTATACGAATGTAATTTGTTGTTTTCGATTATCTACCTATTTGGTGGAGCTCTATGTTGCATACAGTCACGGTTCCACTTGAATGGCTATTACGAAGGCTCATGATCTGTCTAGAACTTCATGTCATAGAATACAAATACAGTACCTGCCTTTATTTTGCAGGACCGAAGTAACATGTTTCACACAATACTGATGTTTCTCAATGTGATAAAGACAAAAGAATCTGGAATGCTCGGGTAAGTGGCTCTCTTGTTGAATGAATGGAAACTCAAAGATGGTAGATCACAGATCTGTGTTGCCAAGTTGTAGAAGCCATGGTTTTCCACACTAGAGGCGTGCACTTGGTCCCACTGTATTGCTAAGCAGGGGCCGGCACCAATCCAGAATTATCCACCTGTGAAAATGGTGTTATTTGTCAGCACCTTTCCACAGAAGGTGTCAGCCTGGCACAGTGGTAACACACGCCTCTGAGTCAGAAGGTTGTGCCCCACGTTGGGACTTGGAATCACATAGTCTAAGCTGACCTTCCAATGGTGGGTGTTGCATTGTCAGAGGTGCCGTCCTTCAGATGAGACATTAAATCGAGGTCCCATCTGCCTGTTCAACTGGATGTTAAAAATCCCATGGCACTATTCGAAAAATAGAAGGGAGTTCCTCTCTCCCAGTGTCCTGGCCAAGAATCCCCCCCCAACTAAAATTGGTCAATCACTCCACGACTGTTTTTGGGACACTCCGTAATTGACTGCTGCGTTTCGGCCACAAAATATGCAGTCGATCCACTTTACTATGTATCCGTGAAGCGCTTTGAGACATTTTGACGATGTGATAAGATGCTAAGTCAAATGCAAGGATTATTATTTTATCACAGAAATGTCGGAAATCTGAAGTAAAAAATTCAAAATTGCGACAGATTTACAGCAGGTTAAGTTAATCTGAAAGGGAAAAATTAATGCTCATTTCAGTGTGTCCATTCATCAGAGCTTCAGGGTCACCCAAAACTACATTTTGTTTGTTACTGATACAGCATAGTATCTGATATCAACGAGATGCTCATATATATATAAAAAAAGAAAATTAGTACCTCATGCATAGCAAGTACTTTTGTTTGATCCAATTGTGGAAAGGCAAAAGATTCTCACTCTGATGTGCAAGTATTTTCTGTGTTTTTTAACATATAATGTAGCAGCTGGAGGCTGTATTTAATGAGTAGATTGAATTTGACTCGTGTGGTTACAGAGGACACAACAATTTGAAGATACTTAAAGATGAGATACTTCCGTTTCTGTTTTAGTGAGTGATTTGTTTGGTCACACAGTATGTATAGTGTAGCATTTCTCAGTTGAAAGGAAGTTAAGCTACTGGGAGAAGCATTGAAATTTACAGCACAAAATGCCATTTAGCTCAGTGTTTTACCAGCTCTTTGAAAGCGCAATCCATTCAGTCCCATTTATCTCTCTTGAAAACTAATATGGACAAACAATTTAAGCACAAAGTTGCTATGGGATTCCCCTCCTTAAGATTTTTTTTTTTTGGCTTTCTGTGTCGTGTCAGTCACCCCCACACAAATAGGATCTCTGTGGTCCCAGACTCCACAGTTTGCTGCCCATCGTTTGTTTCTGTGATTCACCATTGTTGTGGTCAGCAGTGGCCACCAGGTGTCGATATTGGGTTAATTATATTCATCAATTTCCCCCCAAAATCGGTCACTCAATCCACGAGTGTGGGTGGGACATTCAGTGCGAGCAATCGGCTGCCACGCTTGGCCCACAAAATATACAGTCAACCCACTCCGCAAAAGATTCTGTGAAGTGCTTTTAAGACGAAAGCATTTCTAAATTAAAATTTTAATTTGCTTAAATGTTCTTTTGCAGAAGAGTGAATCTCGGGCTGTCTGGAGTCAACGTTTTATGGATTTTTGGAGACTAAGTGAAAGTTGCCGGACTACTACATAGCACCAACGTTGATGTTTTGATCCACACAGAAACTGAAACTTTCTTACCTGATTTAAATACCTTTCTGGTTATTTTATATATTTGCTTTTCTACTGAATCTTGTCAAACTGTTATATGATTGGAGGGGCAGAAGATGATTGGAGTGTTCACTTCTGTCTATGGAACATGGGATTGTATTTGAGGTTTGACTTTCTCGGGACTGAAAAACCTTGTCTTTTGAAAACTCGACGCTGGAATTTTTTTTAACCAATTTAAAAGAACCGGTATTGTTATTTATATACTTTTGTAACGCTGACTTTGCCTAAAAGGGGAAGTGAAAGGAACCGCAGAATTTTTATTTCATTATTTCGTGAACCCCTTACAAAATTGTGTGTAGGAATAAGTTTTAGTTCTCAAAAATGTAAACCTTTGAGGGAGAGAAAGTTTGTACAGAACATGTGATCTGCCACGACTGTAAATTTTGTATAAAGGGAGTCTTAATCTGAAATGGGAAACTCGAGCGATTGTGACAGAAGCACAGTCTTGTAAAGGCATGTTTAGTTTGCAAGTGCCTCACCCCATATTGGTTTTAAACACATATTTGATGGTTAGTTACATCAAAACCTTTGTGAAGACTGGGGCTACTTTTGTAATTTTTTTTCTAGTAACCATTTTGTATGATAGTTGCTGTTTTATATCGCAATAGGACATTTAGAGACCCTCCAAAGTAAAATGGGCTGCAGTAGTTTGTTAATGAATTGATTTGCTTTAAACAATACTTTTCCCAACTTGGAAACTGTGAAAGTTTTTTTTTCAAACCCTGTCTCTCCTTTTTATACAGAGAAACACTTGTGAAAATTGGGGAGGTGGAGGGGGCTCTTAACATTGAAGGATGACCACACCTAAAGAACTAGCTCTGAGCAGGGAATGTGCTATACTTTGTGTTTCATGACTAATGCAAGAGTTATCAGGAACACACAATATTATATTAATTTCCACTCCAATACTACACTAATTCCAATAGAACACTAATTGCCTCCGTTCGACTGGCTCCGGTCTCCTGCTTCTTCCCTCATGCCCTCCGTTCCACCATCAGTGGCTGCGCTTTCAGCCACTATGTCCCGAAAGTCTGGAGCACTCTCCCTCAATCCCTCCGCATTCCCCTTCTTCAGGTCACTCCTGAAGATCTTTCTCTTCAGCTGTGCCTATAGTCACCTTCCCCTGGCTTGGATTTGTGCTCCGCCATTGTCAGGCGCTCTTGGAATGCACTACATAAATGCAAGTTGATGTTCTAATTTCATTTTTGAGCCTAAAACAGGCTATTTGGCCTAATGCATCTGTGCCCACATTTATACTCCAGGTGGACTTTCAACTTTCCTAATTCTCTCATCCATAATCCCTGTATTCCCTTCTCCCTCGTGTATTCATCAGGTATCCTCTGTATATGCTCGTTGTGGATCCCGGACTGTCCAGCGCCTTGGGATGCCCTCCTGACGTGAAAGACGCTGTACAAATGAAATTTGTTGTTGTAAACCTATTGAATACTTTCTGCTTCAAACACAATTTCCAACAGTGAGTTTGGCATTCACGCTACACTCCCATCAAAAAAAAATAATAATAATTTGGTCACTCAATTCACAACTGTGTGGACACTGTTGGCTGCTGCATTTTGCCCACAAAATATACAGTCAATTCACTTTACAGTATATTCTGTGAAGCGCTTTGAGGCTTCTCGAAGACGTGAACAGGCACCGTATCAAATGGAAGGAATATTGTAAAGTTCCTCCTAAATTCCCTTTTAGATCTCCTGCTGGCTATCGTTTATTTATGTCCACCTGTTTTAAACTCACCAACAAGTATTGTTGTCCACCTGAAGGAAACGCTTCATAATTTCAAATGTCTCAATCATCTCTTTGGGAGTGAAGTTCTAACCTGTGCCTAATCTTTCTTGATATCCACTCGTTCCTGATAGCATCATAGCAAATTTAAGCTTGGTTCAACCTTATGTAAATAGCAGTACTATAGTACCAATCTTTTTGACTCCCATTTTAAATATTCTTAAATGCCAGTGTTTACAAAATTGATTGTTACAATATTTATTTTGGTAAAGTTTGGACAATATTATTGTCTGGTAATTTTGGTGCTGTGCTTATAAATCTATGAAACTAACACTTAACTAAAGTATCGTATAGTGCCTTATGTTGTTGAGACATCGCAAAGTGCTTCACGGTGACTTTTTGTGGGCAAAACACAGCAGCCAATTGCGCACAGCAATGTCCCACAAACGGTCGTGGAATGAATGACCAATTTATCGTCTTAATTTATTTTTTATGGAATAGCATTGGAGCATTGCCTCACTATAGCAATACAGGTTTGTCTGTCTTCCTAATCGTGGTGTGACAGATTCTCAGTCTTCAGGGCTAATTAGGGAAAACAAAAGGGTTCTGTTCTGAATACAAACACTTACACAACTCATCCTTAGTTGTCGGCCTTTCAAAGTCTTTGAAAATCATTCTGGACCATGTATCCTTTAGCAATTTTAGTATTTCTGGCCTGCATAGAACAATGTTTATGTAAACCATAAAAAAAATTGCCCGGAAGCATGAAAAATCATTGAAGCGTAGTGAAGATAAAAATCATAACTTGATTTAGATTAGAAGGCTGGCAATGTTCTTGTAATAATAATAATCCTTGCATTTGATATAGCGCTTTTCACGTCGGGAGGACGTCCCAAAGCGCTTCACAGAACACACTGTAAAGTGAAGTGACTGTATATTTGTGGGCGAACGCGGCAGCCAATTGCGCACAGCATGCACTTGATGTGCAGCTGTGTGGTTAACATTGTTGAAAAGAGTTCCTGGCATTGTCTGTCTGTTTAACTAAAGAGCTTAAACCCATACTCTCAACTGAGGACCAGTGTCTCGGGATCCAACGTGGAGGTAAGTCGAGTCTCTGTGGTCTCCTGGTTGAGACCTGAGCTGAGATAACTGAGTTAGAGTAATTGTATCGTTATGTCCTTGGGAAAAATTGCACACTCCAGAACTAACAGACTCTTGAGTTCTTAGTTGCTGGAAGGAAGGTTAGCAGAGTCTCCTTGGAGCTGAACTGGTTCCAAGGTGACCTGCTCGACAATGTAATGTGGCAACCAAATCAATTCTCTGGTGATCTGCTTGTTGTTTGAGCCAGGCGGGTACTCCAACACACACTGGGATACTCAGGCCTTGCCTGTTGCCAACCTGCGCTTAACACAACAACAACAACAACAACAAAATTACATTTGTAAAGCGCCTTTCACGTCGGGAGGACGTCCCAAGGCGCTGGACAGTCATGGATCAGTCATAATGTTCTCCTGAATTAGGCAAGTTGAGTGTGTTCCTCCAGCGGAGAGTGCGTTCCTTTCCAGCCGCAAGGATTTCCACGAGTAATAATAATCCTTACATTTGGTATGGTGCCTTTCACAGCAGGATGATGTTTCACAGTATATACTATAAAGCGCAGTGACTATATTTTGTAGGTGAAACATGGCACTTAACTTGTGCGCAGCAAAGACCTTTGAGTAGCCGTGAAGTAAACTACCAATTTTATTTGGGAATCGTTGCCTGGAAGAAACTCCCTTCAAATAGTGCCATGGGATCTTTTAACATCCACCTGAACAGGCAGGATGGCATCTCTTAACAATGCAGCACACCCCCATCAACGCATTGGAGTGTCACTAATTATTTATCCCTGGTTGAACATAATGGGTGTAACTTGAAAAGAGTTTCTGGTAAAAATCCTCTGGATTAATTGGTCGTTAACCTCATCCCTCGTTGGACCTCATTTGCACAAAAGATAAGCTGTTGAATTTTCCAACAAAATCAGTGACTAACCTTGACCGGAATGTGGACTTTGTTGCTGTGGCGGGGAACCGCGTGAAGACGAGGTACGGCACACAAGAATGGAAGGGAATTTTCCAGGAAGTCACCCTGTACTATTGTGTACTTTTAAGGTGGAGTTTTATTGTGGTACATTAGGCCTCACATGTCGTACCAGTCAGGATCATACATTTAGTAATAATAATAATCCTTCCATTTGATATAGCGCCTTATCACGTCGTTGAGAGGTCTCAAAGCGCTTCACAGAATATGCCGAAAAGTGAATTGACTGTATATTTGTGGGCGAAACGCACAGCAGTGTCCCACAAACTGTAGCGGATTGAGCAACCAAATTATTATTTGACTTCCGCAAAGTATGAATAATGTCAAACTTGCATAGAATATAAACTCTTGAATGGGACTTGGGCAGATGTATGACTTGGGCCATTATATGATTCATACAGCTCAGACTTGGGCGAGTTTAAATCATTGCAAGAGAAGTCTGAAATAACATTCTCAATTGGGGCACTCTCGCAGGTGTTCGTTTGTGGAGTCCTGTAGTAGATCGGTTAGCGCACTGGCTCTAGGTTTGATTCCTAACGTAGAGCAAAACCCGAGGCACGTTTCCTTACTCCACACGCCTCTGTTTACCGAGCAGTCAACAGGAACCCGTTCGTTAGTTGAATGGCGGATCACTTTGCAGGGGTGATAATCCCTTTTTAAAACGTAAATAATGATAATTTAGTCACTCAATCCTCGACTGTTCGTGGGACACTGCTGTTCGTGCCGTGTTTTGTCCAGGATACCTTCCCCCCTCCCCCCACGTATGAACTCTGGCTGAGGTTTTTCTTGGATCTTGGCCGTAGCTGAGTATCAGCGCAGTCAAAACGCACAACCCAACAACGTGGGAGGAACAACTACGACAAGAAATTACATTTATGCAGCGCCTTCCACGTCGGGAGTTAAGGATTTGCATCCGAAGCCGCCAAAATGCATCAGGAAGAGAGCATCAGAAATCAACAAAAAGACCATTCGGGGGTCATCCGCTTGACCATCTCATGCCAAACCTTGTAACCCCTTCCTACTATTATTATTCTATTATTATTATATTCTGGAAAAACTCTTCCTAAGTGGGTATTTGCTACATCAGACTGATCTGCCAGTCATCGCACAATATTCCCATTCCCAATAGAAAAAAAACAATTGTGAAACAGTCAGGTTTGGGACTGCAGGACAGACTGTAAACCCTCTAAACCTGACCCTCTGGGGGGAGGGGAGGAGCAGGAGATGGGTGGGGAGGGGGGAGATCCCCAAAAGGTGCCCCCCCCCCCCCCTTTAAAGTTTAACCAATCATAGTAACAACACCCTGGACAGGTCCTTGTAAATGCTGATACCAGCAGCAGCAGCAACTGGGAGTTGTTTTGTTTCTCTCTCTCTCTCTCTCTTGAATTGGGATGGTCCTCAGCTGGTGGGAGGGGGTGATGGTGGGAGGAGGTTGTGGGAGATGGTGGTGGGAGGAGGAGGTGATGGTGGGAGGAGGTTGTGGGAGATGGTGGGAGGAGGAGGAGGTGATGGGGGGAGGAGATGGTGGGAGGAGGAGGAGGTGATGGTGGGAGGAGGAGGAGGTGATGGTGGGAGGGGAGATGGTGGGAGGAGGAGGAGGTGATGGTGGGAGGGGGAGATGGTGGGAGGAGGTGTGGGAGATGGTGGGAAGGGGAGATGGTGGTGGGAGGAGGAGGTGATGGTGGGAGGAGGAGGAGATGGTGGGGGAGGAGGAGGTGATGGTGGGAGGAGGAGGAGATGGTGGGGGAGGAGGAGGTGATGGTGGGAGGAGGAGGAGATGGTGGGGGGAGGAGGAGGTGATGGTGGGAGGAGGAGGAGATGGTGGGGGAGGAGGAGGAGATGGTGGGGAGGAGGAGGTGATGGTGGGAGGAGGAGGTGATGGTGGGAGGAGGAGGAGATGGTGGGAGGAGGAGGAGGAGATGGTGGGAGGAGGAGGAGATGGTGGGGGGAGGAGGTGATGGTGGGAGGAGGAGGAGGTGATGGTGGGAGGAGGAGGTGATGGTGGGAGGAGGAGGAGGTGATGGTGGGAGGAGGAGGTGATGGTGGGAGGAGGAGGAGGTGATGGTGGGAGGAGGAGGAGGAGGAGATGGGAGGAGGAGGAGGAGGAGGTGATGGTGGGAGGAGGAGGAGATGGTGGGGGGAGGAGGAGGTGATGGTGGGAGGAGGAGGAGGTGATGGTGGGAGGAGGAGGAGGTGATGGGAGGAGGAGGTGCACAGAAACTACAGGAACCAGAAGGTACTGTGAGTGATGGACTGAACCTGTGTGTGTGTGTGTGTGGGGGGGGGGGGGGGGGGGAGGGGGGGAGAGCGCCTGCGCGGTTGGTATATAGGGAGGGGGTGGGGGGCAGATGCTGATGATTTGGAGTTGGAGGAGGAGCAGAGCTGTGGCTGTGCCGGAGCTGTGGGGCAGTGCAGTGCTGTGGGGCAGTGCTGTGGGGCAGTGCTGTGCAGTGCTGTACTGGTGCTGTGGGGCTGTGCAGTGCTGTGCTGGTGCAGTGCTGTGGGCTATGGCGGAGGGGGACGCGGACGCGGCTGTGAGGCGGCGCAGTGCACAGGACGCTATGGGTGAGACGGCGGCGCCGACAGTGGTGTATCCACTGTGTGTCCGTGTGGGAACCTCCTCCCCCCGCGGGGGGGGGTCTGTCTGTGTGTGTGTCTGTGTGGTGTCTGTCTGTGTCTGTCTGTGTGTCTGTCTGTGTGTCTGTCTGTGTGGTGTCTGTCTGTGTCTGTGGTATCTGTCTGTGTGTCTGTCTGTGTGGTGTCTGTCTGTGTGTGTGTCTGTGGTGTCTGTCTGTGTGTGTGTCTGTCTGTCTGTGTGGTATCTGTCTGTGTGTCTGTCTGTGTGTCTGTCTGTGTGGTGTCTGTGTCTGTGTGGTGTCTGTCTGTCTGTCTGTGTGTCTGTCTGTGTCTGTCTGTGTGTGTCCATGTGGGAAGCTCCTCCCTGTCTGCTCCCTGTCTGTGTGTGTCTGACTGTGTGTGTCTGTCTGTGTGTGACTGTCTGACTGTGTGTCTGTATGTGTCTCTCTGTCTGTCTGTGTGTGTCTCTGTGTGCGCGTGTGTCTGTCTCTGTCTGTGTGTCTCTCTCTGTCTAGTCTGTGTGTGTGTGTGTGTGTGTGTGTGTGAAATGCTGTACACCGTCCGGCGCCGTGGGACGTCCTCCCGACGTGAAAGGCGCTCTACGGATGTAGCGTTGTGGTCGTGTCTCTCCGTCTGTCTGTGCGTCTCCGTCTGTGGTCTGTGTGTCGGTCCGTCTGCGCGACACCGGTTCTCCGGCGCCGGGAGCCTCTCGTGACTTATTTCAAACCCGTCCGGGGGGCTCCGCGAGTCAAGCGCGGGCTCCCGCTTGAACATGGTGTTGTTTCTTAACCTTTGTTCCAACTCACCAGCTCGTCCCCTCCCGCGAGCTGCTCAGAGGAGTCAGCGCCCTCCAATTATGTTTCGTTTTGGTTTTATTCGCCATATCAAATCAAGCTATTATCATTGGACACGAACTAATGACGAGGCCGGCTCAGTTCCGCGGCCGATCACACCCCTCGCCTTCGACGGGGCGCCTTATCGTGCCTTTCGGGCGAGTCTCAAAAGTGTTGGCGCAGAGCGTACCGTAAAGGTGAATCGACTTGAATTTTGCGGGCAATTTTTGCGGTGTCCCCAAAGCAATGCCGTCGTGGGTTGAGCGTACATANTTTTTTTTTCTTGGAGGGATGCATATACAGCTTCTGCCACGCGTCAAGCAAGCGCACTTTTTTCCCCCGCACGTTAATGCATCAGGATCTGTTTCAACCGTTACGGGGCTTTTCTTTTTTTTTTTAAAAAAAAAACCGATCGTTATTTACCAAGCTTGCACGCGTTTTTTTTTTTTTTTTTAGTGTGCGCGTGATGTGTGCGGTGTGTACGTATGTATGTGCGGCTTTACTTAAGATCTCGTCGGTTTAGTCCATAGTGTAATGGTTTAATTTGCATTTCACTGAAGGGAAGGAAGTGGGGCTGCAGTTTTTTTCCAAAAGGCATATTTCAGTCGTGACCCTCTGCTGCTTTAGAGAGGTGTTGGTACATTTCAGTAAGTGCTTCGCTCTGGAGTTTGAGACGGTTCGAGGGGAGAAGAGAGAGGTTTTTACGATTACTAGTTAACTGCCTGTCTGTCAATGTTGGAGTTCGAATGATTGCTTGACCCGTGGATTGTTGCAGGTCTACGATCCTTCTGTCTCTGTGTAAACCGTGATATTTAGCGTTATTGCTACACAGAGGTATAACAGCTGCAGCGCCATACTTTCAATTGGTGCAATCAGCGCTCCATGGACGGTTGGGGTGGGGGGGGGGGGGGGTATTGTGGCTGTGGACAGGAAGATGGGAAGAGTTCTCCCATCTTTTCGTGCTGAATTGTGCAGCCTCATCGAGGGGCTCTGGGGTGAGGTGTTCTAATGCTTGCTATCCACCTAGTGGGGGCTTAAACCTGTGTTTATTAAACGTCAAATGACCAAATGGGGAATAATAATAATAATCCTTGCATTTGATATAGCGCTTTTCACGTCGGGAGGACGTCCCAAAGCGCTTCACAGAACACACTGTAAAGTGAATTGACTGTATATTTGTGGGCGAACGCGGCAGCCAATTGCGCACAGCAATGTCCCACAAACAGTCGTAGATTGAAAATGACCAATTTATTATTGTTTTGGGTTTTGGAGGGATTATTATTAGGCTCTGTGTGGAGTAAGGAAACTTGCCCAAGGTTTCGCCCTCTGCCTGGAATTGAACTCGGGTCTCTCACTTGCAAAGCGAGTGCTCTAACCACTGAGCTACAGGACTCCACATCTGGGAGTAGGGATGATGGTGGGTGAGCTGGATCTCATTGGGGCTGAGCTGGCTCCAAGGTGACTTGTTTGGTAATGGACTATTGGAATTGATTCAGCCCTCTGTGGAAGTCTTGGTAGTGTGGCCCCTGAGCCAGGTGGGTCTGCAGTGCTTCAATGTTCTGTTGGTTTATTTGCAGAACTTGGTAGACAGTCTCTGTCCAGTTTCTTTGATTATGAAGGTTAGATGTGTCAACTGTAAACCGGCTTAACACGTTGGTGTTACAACAAAGATCTTGCCCTGAGGTGCAACATTTCAATGAGGTTTCAGAGAGCGGTGGTACTTTTTATAAAGTAACCTGACATTATTTTAAAGGATATTTTTTGTCCAATGTCACCCGCCCGGTTGTGGTTGCCTCAATCTTGTATAGGTTTCTATCGTTCATAATGACTAGTTAGGCTACTGGTGTTTTGGGGGTGGGGGTTGACTAAGGGAATAAATATCAAAATGGATGCCATCTCAACCTGTCTAGCTCCTTGCACTTGTGGTTATCTCCAACATGCTGTGGTGTCTTCACTTAATAATAATAATAATATTAATAATCCTTACATTTGATATAGAGCCTTATCACATCTTCGAGACGTCTCAAAGCGCTTCAGGGATATAACGTAAAGTGAAATTGCCTGTATATTTTGTGGGTGAAACTTCATACATGTGATCGTCAGCTATCATGACACAAACGTTCCACTGCTGCAACCTGGACAAAAAAAGGAATCCGGGGCAGCATTTTGTTTTGCGGTGACTTTGAAATAGTCTGACCTCTGCTACCGTTCCGTTGCTCTCTTGATTCCAGTGTGTGTTAGAGCAAATCTGCATGAGTAACACATAACCGAGTGCTGACGTCTGGCTGGAACGTGTACACATCACCAATATATTATTATATTATTATTATTATCTTGCAGTGGTGTTACGGTGCACCTGCTTTGTTAAGCAGCTGATGTTTAATTTGATCCTGTTAACACGCCTGCGTTTAGCAGACTTCCTCCTGATGGTCTCAGGTTCCCTGATTGGTTCTCAGCACTGAACGGACAGGATAGATGCAGATTTCCAATCCTGTGTTGATTTAATGCATCTCAGCTGGACACGGTTTGCAATCGGTCTCGACCTGTCCAAGGACGGAAATATTCAGCCAGGATTCCAATTGTCGGTGGGTATTGAGGGTCGGGTCTGCTCCGGTTGATCAAACAGGACAGGTCAGTGTTGTGCAGGACAAACTAACACTCCAGTAGAGGTATTTCTTTACGGGCAATGAATGGCCTGCGGGATTGTTAGCAGGAAATTGTTTTGAGGCCCCGGATGCTAAGTTAATTTAAAAAAAATTGCAAGGGCCAGAGGAGCAGGTGGTGGTCAGAGAAGAGATCAGAATGACTTGAGGAGCTATTTTATTACTTGAACCTCTTGTGATCCTGTATTTTTTTATTAAACAGCAAGTGTATTTGTGTGTAGCTGGAATATAAATTTACGCTGGTCTCAAAGAAAACATTTCAACAATTCCCGTAATAGAAAGAAAACCACAACTCATTATTTCGTTAGTTCCAAGTTGCGTCTTGTGCCCCCCACCCCTCTTCCCCTCTGTCACCCTCTCCATGTGCACACATTTTTGGCACGCTCCCTATTTACAGTTGAATATCTCTGCGTACACTACATCCATGCTCGTGAACCTGTTAATGATCTCCATCGACGACGTTTGCTGGAAAGTGTGTGCAGTTGAGATTTTTGATTGTAGGATTTTTTTTGTTCTCCTCGCTCGTTCCACAGTTATATGGCCAACAACTTGTGCGAGGGCTGACAGTTTGGTAAGGTCATAGCGGGCTGAAGATCATCATTTATTCTTCATGAAGATCCTATTCCTACCAATAAGCTTAAAATTTGTGGGTGCTAAAATTTAATAGTGGCTCTAGGTTCATATCTTATTCTAGATAACTGTGGGTATTTCATCCTACAGTATTTTGATTACTTCAGGTTTTTCCTGGAGTATTCTCTTCCAGTGTCTTAAGATGTTAATTGCACAAAATACTGGTTGTAATTCAATTTTTTTTGCTAACGGCTATATGTCAGATTCCAATCTAGTGGGGTTTCATTCCACTAATTGGGTAGAAAGAGAAGATGGGACATTTTTTTACCCATGTATTTTTCTCGAGGGCTTGTATTGGTCTTGTGAGCTTTAGTCATGATTGTAGCTTTATGGATTCCCCACTCAAAGATTAGCAAATTTATTTAATCATTGCAAGCTAATTGAATGGTGTGTAAATCATTGAAAAATAAGACTATGTATAGACATGTCTATTGGTATTGTGCTGCAACATAAAGGTGAAATAAACTTGCCACTTGCAACAATGCTAATATTGGAAAAGAGATGTTTTTGGGAAAAGCCTCAGTACATATATTGAACTGATCCTTAGAACTATGGAATTGCAACTTTCTTTATCATGTGTCCTTCAAACCTGGCCAATGACCGATTAAAGATTTGGCAGCCAAATAATTGTCGTAGACCAATCTGTGGGGGTGAAAGACATCAAGCCAAGGTTCCTGTCTGACTGTTCAGGTGGGTGTTAAAGATCTTAGGGTACTATTCAATCTGAGGTGAGTTTCTTAATGTCCCGGCCAATGATTCGCTGGATGAAATTGTTCAGTTCCTTCAACCTGTTTTGGGGGATGTTGCTATGTGTAAATTGGCTGCACATTTGCCCACGTACACAAGGTGACTACATTTCACCTTAAAATCCTGCGAAGGACTTTGACAATGTGATCCAGTGCTATATCAAATGCTATTATATCAGACCTCCAAGAATCTTGTGATTTTAGGATAGCAAACCATTATGTGGAAGAGGTTGGTGCCTAAGGCATCACGGGACCCATGTATACACTTCAGTCTCTGACTACCCCCACCTGAAGGATGCTGTATAAAAATGCATGTTGCCATTGTAAATTCAAGGGCTGTGTTTTTATTGGGTCAGCCAGATGTCTGACACATGCAGAAACCCATCACCATGCTTAAAAATATCCAGTATGAAGGGTTGTTGGCATCACAAACTGCTTGGCAGCTCTCTGTTCCTTGAACTCTGATGGACAGCAGCTTTCCCCCATGCTCGGGCCCCGACATCTGACTATTCAGCGCTTTGGGACGTCCTCCCGACGTGAAAGGCGCTCTATAAATGTCATTTTGTTGTTATGCAGCTATCTTGTGGATATACTGTAGCTCAATCTCTCAATGCTTGGGAAATTGACCAAATTGATTTTTTTTTTCTGCATTGAATTTTGCAAGGCAACAGATTCCAGAACGAGTCCTTCTCAATCTTTCCCAGACTCGGTTTAAAGTGTTCTATTCCTGTCTCCGAAGGATGATGATGATGCTCCTCAGCAATGCTCAACTTAAGAATCGACCATATAAAGCACTGCAGAAATGTTGGAAATGGAGAGCGGGTGACGTTCTGGCCTTGCAGTCTTCCGCTCTGATGCTGAATATTTCCAACTGTTTTTTTTTATTCCCCCCCCCCCCCTCCCACTCACTCCTCAAGCCATGAAGGCAGGAGGAGAGGAAGGTTTAAGAATGGGCTTGCATTGCCATCAAAATCTAGTTCAAGTGTATTTACGTTTTTAGTCCCTACCTCTGGCCGTTGCTGGTTGGGCCTCAGTCTTTCTGCCCCCACCCTTTGAAACACCATCACCACAGTCCAAACATAATAGAATGAGCATGTAACCTGAGGCCATGTTTGGACTCCATTCCATGTCTGAGTGATTTTACATATGTGCGTCAAGCTTCCTGTTATGATATTTGATGCTACTCCCTTGAGGGTGTGAGGGGGGGGGAGAAATGAGAATTGAATCTTCACACCCTGACCCATCATCTCAGCGCCACTTGTATCTAGGCTGCGCCTGCAGTTTCAGAGCTGTCTTTGTGGCTGAATTAGTTTCAGGGCTGTCTTTGTGGCTGAATTAGTTTCAGGGCTGTCTTTGTGGCTGGATTAGTTTCAAGTCGATCAGCAAATTATATTGTGGGTTGACTCACTACCCAATTTTCTCTGTAGAAAGTTTACATTCTCTTTCAAGGAGTGTGTGGGTCTCGGAACAAAAGATGCTGGGATAAGTGGACATATCCTAGCCTCTTTTCTTCCGAGACCCACACACTCCTTGTAAGAGTTTGTGCTGGGACCATTGGAAATGTTGTGGTACTTTTTGGAGGTAATCAAATGTATTCTGCATGACTGTGTAACCAGCCAAGGCGTGCGTAATCAATCATAAGTACTTTATCGTCAAAACATCTCAAAGTGCCTTGCAGGATTTAATGAAGTCAAGTGACTGCAGAAGCCAATTTGCACACAGCAATGTCTCACACTTCAATTTCTTCCATTGCAGATGACTTGTGCACGCTCCCTTTACACACAGTTAATGATGATTATCTTCACATGGTATGTAGGGATTATTAATTGGCATCGAACTTATCCCAAAATAAATGAATTTGATTGAGCAGCTGGTATAATAATAATAACAATAATCATCCTTGCATTTGATATAGCACCTTATCACAGCTTCGAAAGTCTCAAAGCGCTTCACAGAAGAGACTGTAAAGTGAATTGACTGTACTCTATATATATTTTGTGGGTGAAAAGCTAGGTAAACCTTTCTTGCAAGGCTGGCACATTCTATTGTTAGCCAATCTACTGTCAGCTTGTACGTTATCAAATGGAGCATTGCATCTCGTCAGTGGCATCATGTACATTAATTGCCTTGCGTTACTAATGCTGAGGACTGACTTCGATCTCCAAAGATTTTAAGAATGTTCTGGAACGATTTGCCTGCCCTTTGATGCACGAAGCATCGACTAAACTGAACAGGATCTAAGAATAGCCGTCGGGTAACAGATTTGGTTACGTGAATTGTGCAGGATTTTTATTGGAGGATAAACACCAGTGATCATTGATGAATGGGGTTGACTCTAGATTAACATGAAACGATGATAATGTATTGTTGATCCCACGGCACTGTATCAAAGGGGAGGGCTTTTGGTATATCTTGGCCATCAATTCTCCATGTTGGCATTTCACCTCATGGATGTTTGCAGGAATTTGCTGGGTGCAAAATGGCTACGTACTTTGCCTACCAGAAACTTGATACTGCATTTAACTGTGTACTGTGAATATATTATGGAAAAATGTTTTTGATGATGTATCTGCTGTTATACTGAGTTCTTCATTCTCCACCCATTGCTCTCCTTGGTCTGCTATTCTTCTTTGTCGTTCCTTAAACTCCCTTTGTGGGGTCCCTGTTCACTCACTTTAGTAAATCATCTTGTTTTCACTGTTCCAACTGCCGCCCTTTACGGTTACCGAGGCTAGAGTTACAACAATTCTCTTTAAGAGAAGTGGAAAGTGTCAATAACTCAACATTTCCTCCAGGGTTGGAGAAAACTAGCATTTGAGAGCCTTTAGTTTGGACTGAAACCTTCCTTTGGCTTTGGGCAAGGTTGATCTGTGCAAGAACCCAACACATAAGGTATTGTCTTGAATGAAGTTGCCTCACTTGTTCAGTAAAGGCCAGGCACAAAAATACCGGTTTCTTGACACTGGCTAATTATTCTACTTTCTACCCCCCTGAGAGCAGAAAGCCATCAGTCTTTTTCACACTAGGTTAGAGGTCATGGATCGAGATACGGGAGGGCATTTTCTAACTGGATGCAAGTTTGCATTTTTCTTTCTCTGCTAATCTTCATGCACAGAAGTGAATTGTCCCAGTTAACTTCCCTGTCCCCTCTGGTCTGTCCTTCCCATGTGCCCACTTCCTCATATAATTGAGTGCCTGATATTGTTGCCCAATTCAAATCTGTTAATATGTTTTTATAATTCAGAAGGTCTCAAAGTTAAATATGGCATGTTCTGCTTTTCCAGATTTTTGCTCTGGATTTGATCTATCATTTTTTAATCCTTTTAATTTGCTACTGGGAGTTTCTCTTTACATTAATTGATTCTATAATCTTGCGGTTGTCGACACCTGATCCTTACAGTTTCATTATCAGTGGCCGACTCATCAATGTTCTGCTTTAGTGTCTATATTGGACCACAATATTTTCATGCATCAGCATCTTCTAACATTGAAAGTTGATCACCCCCCAAGTTCCTCCTATCTTTTGAAACGCACACTGCTTCACTGAAGTGCTTTGCAACAGTCCTGTTAAATTTGGGGGGCTGGGAATCAGCTTGGAGGTATACTTGCAGACATGGACTAGATCAAAGCTTCAAGCACCTGTAGACCTGACTGAATCTTTCAGTTGGCTTTGACTTGGGACGAGCTGACCTCTAACTTGTACTACACGTTTTTCAGCTCCTGAACAGAACTAACACGTCCTGATCAGCATGTTAAGTCCTGACACTTTTATACCTATAGCATTTTTTTTTACACAATGGCACGGCAGGCAAAACGGGTAGGTTCTTGGGACTCTTATCAACTTAGCTGCTTGCTCAGGGTTTTTTTTGTTTCCATCAATAGACTTTGGGAGGGAGTATGATGTAAGGACAGAAGCACAACAGTATCCATATCCTCTGACCCTCAATGAGAAGCATAATGGGCTCCACCGGCAGCCTGACCCGATGGACACTCTCTCACCTTTCACACCCAGATTGCTCCCAGGTTAGTTCTCCAGATCTCATCCCTGATGGTCTGAAATCTAGGCTCGTTTTTTAAAGCACAGCCTCCTCCCTTCTTCAAGGCCCGTGTCAAGATCCTCCTCTTTGACTACGCCTTTGGTCACCCTCCTACCCCTGCCCTCCACCCCTCCTGATCCCAGCCTCCAGCTCAGGTCCAAATCCCTGACTGTCCAGCACCTTGGGACTTCCTCCTGATGTGAAAGGTGCCGTACAAATGTAATTTGTTATCTTTCCACGCTGGATTATAAGGATGAATTGCTGGCACCACAAGATCTAGGTTCTTGGCACTTGGCAATAAGATCTATATTGGCGTGAAAATCTTTGGTCAAGCTTTGCAAGATGGATGTCTGACACTATCTTGCATAACGAAAATGCTGTTTCAATGGCTTATGCATCCCCCCCCCCCCCCCACTGTGTGTGCCGACCTGTAATTTTTGTGGTCACAAGCTTCCCTAAATCTAGAGATCGTACACTAATGAATCAACTAGACCCATAACTTTATTTTCCTTCTTTGTTGGCTTGCCCTGGGACTGCAACGTGGAAATGAGTGACATTTGGTGATGGCTTGAAGTTTTTCTAGTAAATCTTTACACCACTCTGGGTAGTCTGTTGGACTGACAACCGGTAACATTATTGTGCAGCTAACTGTACTCTTGACACTTAACGGCATTAAAGTTGCTTGGAGCCAAGCTTCCCTTTGCTGTGACTTTAAAGTCTAAGTTTAAAACTTAGTGAATTATACCCAGGTTCCTTTTTGAAAATCTGCTCAATGTCTGTCGCATTTACACAGGTGGAAAGACTGACGTTCGACTGCATAGATTTTCACAAAGCTCAAGTGATCACCTTCTGGCAGACTGGCCTGCTAGGAACAGTTAAGTAATTTGGACCAATGCCAATCTTAATGCTGAAAAGTTTGCGTTGGGGCAACTGTGTTATATGGAATTCGAAGTGCTCTTGTTTTGAAATTGATGAATAAATGTTGGGTGACTGCACTTAAAAGTTACTAGCTTGGCTAGGTTACTGTACCTGGTTCTACGAGAGCTGGATTGTAGTGCTTAGTCAACCTTTGCCCGGATGATTGACTTCCATTCAGCACCCAGGGTAGCATCAACATTTGCTTCACCAAAGTCCAGCTGGGATAGAAAAAGCCCAGACCTGTTCATATCCTTAAACATTTGTTTCCAGATCTTTTCCTACATCAATCTTGGCACCAGATGAGTCGCACGTGCTGACTGTTTGTCAATTGTCTATTATTTGTAAGGTTTGTGCACGTTAACACGACCAATGGGGGGAATCCTGTAGCTCAGTGGTTAGAGCATTCCCCTCGCAAGCGAGAGGACCTGGGTTTGATTCCTGGCCAGGGCGAAACATTTGGCAAGTTTCCTAACTCTGCACATCTCTGTTTACCTAGCAGTAATTAGGAACCCGGATGTTAGTCGATTGGCGAATCGCTTTTCTGGGGGTAATAATCCCTTAAAGAAAAATAATAATTTGGTCACTCAAACCACGACTGTTTGAGGGAGACCGCTGTGCACAATTGGCTGCCGGGTTTCATCCATAAAATATACAGTCAATTCACTTTACAGTATATTCTCTGAAGTGCTTTGAGATGTCTCAAAGACGTGATAAGATGCAATATAATAATAATCTTTGCATTTGATATAGTGCCTTACCAAATGCTATTATTATTAGAGCAGTAAGCTGTGCGCTTAACATTAAATCACACTTTGGGATAGATTTCCAGAAGACATGGGACCATATAGTTGACCATATTCCTAGGCAGAGCAAGGAAAGCAACATTTGAATGGCGCAATGTGCTTGAATATAATACTTGATGCAAGATGTGTGTGTGTGTGGTTCATGATGGCAGCTATTCCTTCTGTAAAACATTTGTAGTCCGCACTTGACAAATGAGAGCTGCAAACATTTTATATCAACATGGCACTATTTGAAAAGAGAAAGGAGTTTTTTTTTAGGTTTTCCTGGCAACAACAACATTATTACATTTATAGAGCGCCTTTCACGTCAGGAGGACGTCCCAAATCGCTGAACAGTCAGGTGTCAGGGTCCGAGCATGGGGGAGGGGTGGTGTAGGGGTGAGGGAAGGCAGAGAGGTGGGAGGGAGACCAAAGGCACGGTCGAAGAGAAGGGTCTTGAGACCGGCCTTGAAGGAGGCAAGGGAGGAAGCGAGGCAAAGGGACCGTGGGATGGAGTTCCAGAGTGTGGGGGCAGAGAGGCTGAAAGCCCGGACACCGATGGTCGGGCGGGAGACATGGAGCAGGGCGGCGCCCGATGAATAGAGGGAGCGGGCAGGTTGGTAGGGAGTCAGCAGAACAGAGAGGTAGGAGGGGGCAAGACCATAGTCACTATTGCTGAACCACAATGTTCAGCACTAGTGACTAAATATAATCAGCGATGTGTAATGTCTTCCCCCCCCCCCATCCCACGACTAGTGATGTGAATGATCTGCAGCCTGTTTCTGCATGTGCTCCCCTAACCAAAGGGGAAGATTGACTCCTCTCACAGGAGAATTTCCTTCAGTCACATACTTCTATTCTAGCAGTAAGTAGGAACCCGGTTGTTAGTTGATTGGCGGCGGATGGCTTTCTGGGGGTAATAATCCTTTCAAAACAATAAATAAATTTGGTCACTCAATCCACAACTGTTTGTGGGACCACCCCTGTGATCAATTGGCTGCCGCGTTTCACCCACAAAGTACACTTTATATTCTGTGAAGCTCTTTGAGATATCTCAACAATGTGATAAGGTGCTGTATCGAATGCTATTGTTCTATCTAGTGAATTAGTTTAAATTCTATCTAGTGAATCTAATGAAAAGTTAAATCTGATTTGGATTTGTATCTTTGCAGTGACCTCTACTCCAACCCAACATCATTCATCTGGTGAAGCACTCACTTGCACGACCTGTCTACTGACCACAAAAACCACTCTGTTAGCAGAAAATGAAGTTGAAGCGCACAAACTGGCCAACAACTACAAGGTTAGTGCGACGTTCAAGCTACAGTGTGTGGGCAGGGTTCAGGAACCTAAAAAATGGTTATGTATTACCTAAAGAATGGTTGGACAATGAGGGGCACATAATGAAAGCTTAGACTTCTGCCCTACAGTTCAATAAAAACCCGTTTCCAAAACTCTCGTCATTAAGGGCAGCAGTGAACTGCCAATGTGGATTATTGTTTTAATAAATCTGTAAAAACTGCTGAATTCTAGAACTTCAGCTCTTGCCTCTTGTGCTTTCTTATAGAAACATTGCCACCTGTTTTTTTGTTGATGTGTCTACCCAACTAGTCTAGCTCTGACGAAGGGTCAAGGACCCAAAACGTTGACTCGCTTGACTTTCTCCATAGATGCTGCCTGACCTGCTGAGTGTTCCCAGCGACTTCTCTTTTTGTTTCATATTTCCAGTATCTGCAGTGTTTTGCGTTTAGTCAAGCTTCTAACTTTTATATGAATTAAATTTTCTGATTCCGTACGTTGAAGTGTCAAGCTTTTAAGAGTTGATTCTGGAGTAGATCAAACTTTGTCCTAAAAATGACCAAATTAGGTTTTTTTTAAAATGAATTTCACCAACACTTAATATTGATGAGTAACTTCTAAGAATTGACTATGATGAATCCCTTTTATTTTAGGAGCTCTTGACTCACAATCTTTGGCCATGTATAACATGACTTCAAAACAGCTTAAGTTAAACTTAAGGTCAGAGGAGAAGGCTCTCCGAGGATAACTAGTGAACTCATCCAAATGTTTTAAACTTTGCCCACAATCTTAACACAACACGAGGAACTGCAGTAAATGGGGTTTACTCTGCAGTTTACAAATGCGGCCCCACAGAATCCCATCAGAAGCTGGAGAAATGCAAGCGGGGAAATGGATTTAAAACCTTTATTTCTAGTTTTTGAGATCAGCAACAAACTCAACCACAGGGTTTGTGGCCTTGCTGTCTGCTTGGAGTTCAGCCAGTTTTTTTTAAAAAAAACACCTGACTTGCTATTGAGAGCACTGTCTGGCCAGTTTCCTGCTGTTCAGCTACGACAACTGCTAGGCTTGCAGGGTAAACTTATAGCTGAAATGGAAGAATCTCTGCCCTCATTTTCTGTGGAATATGAAACCTCTTGTTCCTATCAGCAAGCCAAGCATCAATATTTTGGGGGTACTGTGGGACCTGCCTGGCTCAGAATCTTATTACTCTATTGGCAAGACCGTGTGACGCACACAAAAAATTGCTCACTCAATCCATGGTTGTTTGTGGGACACTGCTGTGTGTATTTGGCTGGTGCGTTTCGCCCACACTTTACAATATATTCTGTGAAGCCCAAAGAGATGTCTCAACGACGTGACATGCTATATCAAATGCAAGGATTATTATTCAGTAGAGCAGCGTTTTTGTTTTAATGTGGTCTTCTGTCTCCAGTGCTTAAATGGTTGACTTCCAGATTGCTGCTCACTTCGCTATCTGTGTGTTATGCAGAACAGATGAGTAGGAATCATTAACCAATGTCAACTTGTCATCTCTGCAGTTTGGGTTTAAGAAATGGAAAAGTCACGTAACTCAGAGGCCATGGGAAGACCGTTCTGCAATAGTCAAGGAGCTGTATTCTGATCTAAACGTCCTCAAGCATTCAGGTAATTGTCCTGTTTCATTGTATTCCTCAAACCAGCCACGATTTCAGCCACTACCCCCTGAATCTCTGGAACACTCCCTCAAACCCTCCCGCTTGCCACCTCCTTCCCCATCTTCGGGTCACCCCCCCGAAGACCTTCCTATTCGACCTTTCCTGCCGTCACCCACCCCCCGGCTCAGGGTCGTGCTCCGCCACTGTTGGGAGCTTTGGTACACTATCCTGCACGAGGGAGGCTATATAAATGCAAGTTGTTGACAATAGGGACACTGGGCCACTCTGAGAACAAGGGTGGACAAGATTAGTGGTCAAAGAGGACAACATTAGAGATTTTTGGTGTTAGGCCACCTGTATGGCTCATCACTGAGACTTGGAAATGTAACTGTCCTCAACCTTGCCAGGCAAAGTCTTGATGAGCAAGTCCAAATTGAAAGTGGAGCTGGGTTACGCAACAGTTTACCATGTTATATAACCCTTTAGGCTTCAAAGACCCTTTGTCTAGTATAGCTTAGTAAAATATATAGTGTATAGCTTGGGACGTGACCTGTGCATGCGACTACCAGGATGGTGGAAGTCGAACTGGATGGACTTTGGTCTTCTTTCCTGTTGCAATTCTGATGTAAAGATTATAGCTGGTAATGACCGCCGATTACTTTTAAATCAGTGTAATCCGTCGGTAGGTTTTGCATCCCAATCCTGCATAAACTTACCCAGAAGGTCAGTGACAAATCCTGCGTTAAGTACTTGAAATCCATTCCCAGAGAGCATGACAGTGGCGGAGTGTGACCCTGAGCCAGGGGGAGTAGGAGGGGGCCCGGTGATCATAAGCACGATCAAAAAGCAAGGTGTTTAGGTGGGATTTATAAGCTTTCACAGCAATAGTTTCTGCTTAAAGCAGCTCAAATATTGTGGTATTAAATACTTTCAATATTTAATACCACAACATTGCAATACTAATCCCCCAAAACGTGGTCACTCAATCCATGACTGTTTGTGGGACTCTGTTATGTGCAATTGGCTACCACAATTCACCCATAAAATACAGTTAATCCACTTTATATTCTGTGAAGTGCCTTGAGGAGTCTCAATGACTTGATAAGGTGCTATATCAAATGCAAGAATTATTATTAAGTTACATGGCAGTAGTGCTACTTAAATGCCTGCTTTTTTTTTCCCTCTAAGGAACATTGTTCACCTGTGGAAATCTCTTATACGTGCTGCTGTTCGGATGGTGGGTTTCGCTGCTGTACCTTCTGGTGTCTGCACTAATGTTTATTACGATTGTGGGAATACCTTATGGTAAGTGTTAAGTGGATCACGTTTCATTGCAAGGATTGTCAAATGAGCCAAAATGGTTCCTTTTGACTAACGCAGAGCCTTGCATCAAGGAGACCTTGATACATATCCAGGTGAAACCACTTGTCCCAATTGTACTTGTTAGCCAACTATTGTGAAGGAGGGTTTCTTATTTAGTGACGTTGAATTGTCAGCTATATTTACAGCTTAAGAGTGCAAAAAGCTGAGCGCAATGATGTCTTGAATGATCTAGTATTGCCCATATCATGTTTCCTCATTGCAGCTTGACCTATTTATCAAGGATTATGAAATTGTGGCTGAATTTGGGTAAAGCCTTTTCACCAATCAAGCACTCCCGAACAATGTGCCTTATAACTGAAAGCAATAGCTGCAGAGTTGGACAAATAAATGTGCAGATCAAATGAAAGTCCTTTCTTTCAACTAGAAGTGCCCAGAATATATCCCTTCCCCCCCCCCCCCACTTCCCCCAAGAAACCTACTGAAGTAGGTCTGAATCTTGAGAGCGTCTCAGCTGGAATAGTGAGCTCCACTTGACCCATGTACAATCTCTCGCTACGCAATTGTGGAATTTTCCATTCAGAATTAAGCTTCATGTTTGTTCTGAGCTTATGGTTCAGTTCATCTAACCAGCTCCACTGTAGTCTGAATCTGGAGCTCTGTTGTGCTCATCTCCAAGCACGAAATCTCACTCGGCTAGTTACAGTGGTGAAGTGGCTTCATAATCTCTGCCATATCTTCCAGTCTCTCTGGTAGGTAAAGGGAGGAAATGCTGTAGGATATTGAAACAAAAGTCGCTGGGAACCCGCTGCAGATCAGGCAGCTTCTAAGAAGAGAGGAAAATGAGTTAGCATTTCAGGTCGATGACCTTTCGTCAGAACTGAATGCCGTAGGATACTCATTTAACCGTGCATTTCTTGTTCCGTACAAATAAGCACTGTTTGTTTTTGATGCTCTCCTTTCCCAGGGAAGTTGTGCTGCAGTCTCGCTGGGTTTTACTTCTGGCCATTTGGCAAAGTGATTCAAAAGGTAAATACGAGGCTGTTGTCATATTTTTTTAAACTTTTGCTGGGTTTGTAGTGTTTTGACAATGTGTTTTGCTACCAGCATACCTGGTTTCAATTAATTACAAAACGTTTGCAAGACCCAAGGTTCAAAACTATTTACCAACATTTCGTCTTCATCGTTTGAGCTACTCCACTTGTGTTAAGCTAATCAGGGTGGTTTGCTATTTTTCAGTTTTTTTTTTGCTTTGCTTAAAGCGCTGCGTTAAAAATGAACCATCTCCTACCGTGCTATGGGAGCTTTAACGTCCACCCAAACAGGCAGACGGGACCTCAGTTTAACGTCTCATTAGCATTTTCGAATCGCACTTTGTAATCCCCAATCTTCTTTCCCATCCCAAGCCATTTAGCTATCCCAGGAAAGGCAGTGTCCAGTATTACAATGAGGTTATCCCCGAGGTCAACGCTGAGACCACAGCCCTTCTCAATGTCCACGAAAGGATAGTAGATGACAGAACACCTCCGGCTGCACCAGTTCAGCCCAGTCGCTGGGTAGGTTGACTGACTGTTCATAGATCCTTTCCTTTGGTTGTTGTGTGCCTTTTTTTGTTTCCCTGCATAAAATGACTTGCGTTCTTAGTAAGGAGAAAGTAAAGTGGAACTGTTTACCTGTTTGCATTTTTGCTTGTACTTTTCAGTCTTTCAGTTGAGAGGTTGTGCATGCACAGCAGATTAACCTGGTATGCTAATTCTTTCAAAAAAAAAACTGAACACGTTGAAGTAGTCCTGCCACACAATAGGATGTGAATATTTGCCTTGTTCCTCAGACTATACTTTGTAGAGTACTGTACACCAGCTACGAATGATTGAGTGGAAAGCTCGGTCATATTTTCTAAAATAATTAATTATACATCTTAATAATGTGGGTCCTGCAATGGCTGGTATCATAGAATCGTACTGGGTAGAAGGAGGCCATTCCACCCATCATACCTGTGCTGGCTCTTTGAAAGAGCTAATCTATATGTGCATTTTCATGCTGACTTGCTCGACTTTTATTCTCCAAAAGCAGATGATTAACTGTAATTTCATTGTGCTCAAGCATTGATGCAAACCTTACTGACATCTGTTCTTTAGCTTTTAAAAACTGTAGCACCTTATACTGCAATAGTGTTTGGTGTAACTTGGCTTTTCAGTATAATCACACTTTTTTTTCCCCCCAAAATGTCTTTCAGCGCCTTCCTTCCACTTATGTGTGGCTGTTCTTGGGATATCCTCTGCTTGTGATTGCCCACAGTATAGCTTCCTTCATCGCTTGGATCCTGGTTTTCACCATTCCAGTAGCTAAGCTGAATGGCCGAGCCATCACTGTCATCCTGCTGATACCCCCTGAGCAGGTTCAGATCAGAAACCCCAGGAGGGTAAGCAGCTCTATCAAAAATAACCTGTCTCCCTTTTTGCTCATGTTGAAGAGGAATCGCTGCAATTCTTGGGTAGGGAATTCTGCAGGAATTCTCCGTTCATTACCTAGGTGATTGTTTGCGATTATAAATGCATACACATTCTGTACTCATCAATCTTAAGCTTAATTGATATTTAACAGTTTGCACGTTGGAGGGATTTCAGGGTTGAGGAATGGAACACACCAGCTTTGTGTTAGTTTCCATCGAGCACTTCCAATTAATTAATTCCAATATAGTTAGCACTACGTTACTTGCTTCCAGTAAATTGCATTGCTCCATTCATTCACTGCGACAAGAGTGGATGTGCTTTACTGTGCAATTTTCGTAGACCCTGTGATATTCACTAATGTGAATAGAGGAACAACACCTCATTATCTTTGGCTGTTTTGGGTCATAGCAACCAGTTTGGGAATACTTCAGGACAATCAAATCGATATAGCCCGATAATTTTGCGATGTGGATATTTCCTTTTTAAACGGAAAGCAGTGCAGAATCTGACCAGTGGTGCTGTTAGTCATCCAGGATGGTCACACTTCAATTTAAGCACTGCAACCGTTATGACAATCACTGGGTCTATGAAAATTGCACAGGAAAGCACATCCACTCTGGTTGCAGTGAATGAATGGAGCAATGCAATTTACTGGAAGCAAGTAACTTAGTGAGCCCGACTGGCTCCATCACAACAACAGTCAATGTAGCTCAACTGACAAACTGACCCCTCACATTTCCACAATGTTTTTTTTTAAAAAAACAAAATACAATACTAGTTAAATGGTTTTACATCTCTTTATTTGTAGACGGAAGTTCCATTGGATGGAGAAGTGATCCTGGTCTGCTACCAAGCAATGAATTTCTACTATTACAAATACACAGTGGTTGGCATTAATGTGTTTGCTGTTAGTATCCTTTGGTACTGACTTGAGCTTACCACAGCCCGAGTCCTTTCCAATTGTGTTTTGGTGTTTGACTGTTTTTATATTTTTTTAAAAATGGCTCCGGCCTCTTGCTTATCCCTCCTGACCTCCATTCCACTATCAGTGGCTATGCTTTCAGCTACTACTCCCCCAAACTCTGGAACTCTATCCCTACTTCCTTTTTTCTATTCGATCATTGCTACAGTCACCGCCTCCTGGCTCGGTGTGGTGCTCAGCCACCGTCAAGCATTCTAGGACACTGACGTGGTTGAGGGGCGCGATATAAACGCTTGTTGTTATCTAACTGAAAGGGGCAGAGACGCTCTTTGTCTCGTAACCCAGTTCCTAGAAGGAAATGAGCAGAAGTTAACTTTCTCCTACTTGGAGTAGGAAAACCTGAACGTGTGAATTAACCCACCTGAGCTGCTGTGCAGGTGACTAGTGTGCATCACAGCTAGACACCCATCTAAATCCAATGGGTGATTTTATTGCCAATTGACCAGAGGAGCTTACTGGGAGCAAGACTAGTTTTCTTTCCTTGTGTCTTAAGGGTCAGGTCTGTCTACTTTCCATTTCCCAGCACACCATTCAAACAAGCCCAACAGCTGCAGATGTTAATACAGTTTAGAGTTCAGTTGGACTGGGAGGCATAGATTCTGTTCTGGTCATTCTATAGAATAGCCTGGTTTTAACTGGTTAAACCTGAGAAGATTCCCACAACCTATGCACACTGGGGTCCCCAAGCTTATGACCCTTGCCACCCTACATCTTGTGCTTTCTGGGATTACAAGGGCAGGATACTATCCTTCTGCAGTCCTGGAATGTATTGGTTAGAGCACTTGCCTCGCAAGCGAGAGGACTCCGGTTCGATTCCGGGACAGGACAAAACCTTAGGCACATTTTCTCACTCCACAAGCCTCTGTTTACCTATTATTAAGTAGGAACCGGGTTGTTAGTTGATTGACTGATCACTTACCGAGGTTGGTAATCCTGCAGTACAGTTCAATCCATTTTACAATATATCTAGTGAAAGATGCTATATCTATTATTGTTCTAGGGTGTCTCTCCAGGAGAGCATGCACTCTATTCCAGACCAAGGGAAATTCCAAAGCTTATATGGAACTCAATAGCTTGGCTTGCACATGCTTATGATTCTTGCCAACATCCTGACTGACTGATATTTATTAAACGTCCATTTGGACTTGGATTCCGTATAAAACGTTGCTTCTTTGACCTTGTGTTCAGATCTGTTGCCTCTTGTAGCGGTTGCTCTAGTTTTGGGGTACGCAGATACAGAGAATCACTACGCCAGCTCCTCTGTGAAGTTTATGCTCTCCATTTTGTCCATAATTCCTCTGTCCTACTACATTGGAATGGCAATAGCCAGGTAAGTGGAAATCATTTTGCTTTGAAAAGGTTTTATTTAAAATTGCCTTTTTTTTTAAAGTAACAACAAATCACATTTGTATGTCGCCTTTCATGTCAGTAGGACGTCCAAAGGCGCTGGACAGGATTTGGACCCAAGCTGGGGGCTGGGATCAGGAGGGGTGGAAGGCAGGGAGGGGAGGAGGGTGACCAAAGGCGCTGTTGAAGAGGGTCTTGAGACTGGACTTGGAAGGAGGCAAGGGAGGGAGCAAGGTGAAGGGCCTTTAGAATGGAGTTCCAAAGGATGGGGGCAGAGAGGTTGAAGGCTCATCTGACGATGGTGGGCAGGAGCCGTGGAGCAGACCGGAGCCCGTTGAGTGGACAGGTCTGTAAGGAATTACCTGGTCACAGAGGTATGGGGCAGCAAGGCCTTGGAGGGCCTTTTTAAACCCAATATTGAGTGTGAATTCCAAACTTAAAAATACCAGCTACACCAAAATAGTTTCAATCAACTTCAGCATCAAATGAAGAGGCTGGCAGGAGCCTGTTCAAGTTTCAACGGTATCCGATTTTTAACGTCAGTCTAGATTACAATTAGCTTAATGATTCAATGTTTGCATTTGCAATGTGTTGGTGGGGGGGAGCGGTTGCTCAAAGGTAGCATGTTGATGTAGTTCAGAAATCAGGAAGCCTCAAAATATCTGACGATTTCTCTGTGGCTCATGTTATGTCCTGTGTGGTGCAGATGTTTCACTTATGATGAGTTCTCTTTTAGGGTAAATTAAAAGCAGGTCGGTATTTCAGTTGTGAGTAATAGGATTGCAATGAGAGTGGGGATTATGATCTCAGTGTGGGGAACTGGTTCTGTTTAAAGATGGAGTTTAAGGAATAAAGCCCTGAGGTTTGAAGAATATTTAAAGTATCTGACGGGAATCTGGGATCAAACCTCTCGGACATTTCTATCCGGAGTTTCCGTGGAGACCTGTAGCTCAGTGCTTAGTGCGGTCGCATTGCAAGTGAGAGGACCCGGGTGTCCGAGGCGGGGGAAACCTTAGTCAAGTTTCCTTACTCCACACACCAATGTTTACCTAGCAGGAAGTAGGAACCCCGGTTGTTGTTCAATTGGCAGATTGCTTTCCGAGGGAAAAATAATCCCTCCCAAAACATATTTTAGCAATTTGTTCACTCAACCTGCGACCGTATGTGGGACGCCGCTGGGCGCAATCGTCTGCTGCGTTTCGCCCACAAAATATACAGTCCATTCACTTTGCAGTATATTCTGTGAAGCCCTTTTGAGACGTCTCAATGGTGCGATAAGGCGCTAAATCAAATGCAAGGTTACTATTATTTCGGAGGAGCTATTTCTAACTTTAGGTGGATGGTGACTTTTGATGGTGCCTAAACTCTCGAATTAAATAAGCATCTGAAAACCACATGATTTCAACTGAGTTGACGAAATAGTCCACAGAATGGCTTGTTTAGCTGGGGCCGGACAAAGGGAGGAGAAATATTTCTACTTGGAAGGAAGCCAGGGTTCTATTGTGAGGGTGAATGACTAATTTGCTTGTGCTTGATCAGCTGAGCTTTTATGTGGGTCTTTGTTAAGTGGGTAGGATGCAATCCACAATACAACATTACCGTGCAGTGCAGATTGGAAGGAGAGGTAGTGTGGCCTTTTTCTTCTGTTGCTTGTGATGGTCTGTGGGTTGAAATTAAACTAGTCCAACAGATCTCTGTCTTGATGCATGTGGGAGCTGATGCACTGGCTCCCCATCGCCGAACAGGTCGATTTCAAGATCCTTGCACTCGCTTCAAATCCCTTCACGCTCTGGCACCTCCCTAGCTCTCCGACCTGCTTACCCCCTCCAACGCACTGCCTCCATCCGCTCAACTGGCTCCAGCCTCCTACATGCCCCTCGTTACCACTATTCCACCATTGGTGGCCGCGCGTTCAGCCCCTACGCCTGGAAACTCTGGAACGCTCTTCCTCTATCTCTCCGCCTTGCCCCCTTCCTTCCCCATCTTCAGATCGAGCCTGAAGACCTTCCTCTTCGACCGTGCCTTCACTCACCTCCCCCTCCCCCCAGCTCAGCATCGTGCTCCACCACTGTCAAGTGCTCTGGGACGCTACCTCTGTTGAGGTTGCTAAATAAATGCAAGTTTTTTTGTCATCACAGCTCCAAAGCTCACTTTTCCAACTTTATTAATGTTTTCCAAGCTTCCAATGTAAAACAAAATGCCTTGATGGTCTTTGGGGTGGGGGGTGTGTGTATATATATTATAAATATAATGTTAATTGTTCTTCTTCAGTATTTCAGCCCAGAGTAACTTTGCAGTGGGCGCTGTAGTGAATGCTACGTTTGGATCGATCACTGAGCTAACCTTCTACATAACGGCTCTGATCAAAGGCGCCAATAAGGACAACAAGTGCTATGAGGAAGTGGTCAAAAGTGCTTTGACCGGCACCTTGCTGGGATGTGTCCTCTTTATTCCAGTGAGTTTCGCTTTACAATCGGTTCAAAGAGAACTGATGAGCTCTATACTTTGAATGGGCCCTTTTTTTTAAAACTTAAAACAAACTTCCTGTAGTCCTATTGTTTTTCCCTTATTTAGAAGTTTCGCCCACAAAATACAGTCAATCCACTTGGCACCTTGAAACGTTTCAATGACGTGAGAAGGCGCTATATCAAATGCAAGGATTATTATAAATTATGACCCCAGTTTTTTTTCTCAACAATTCAAAGTGGCCAATCTTTGTATTTCCAGCACCTTAAATCTGATGTTAATCATCTCCCCTCATCTTTGTTCAAATCTGGCAGAAATGCCATTAAATCCTCTAATCCCTACCATCGAGACATTTATTAACATCTTTAATTTACATCTTATTATTGGTAAATGGATTCTCTTCCCAAATTACAGGTAATTGCTTTTTGCTCCCATCTCAATACACGAATACCCAACTTGTCTATTCATAGCAACTTACTACTGAATCCCCAAATGAGAGCCACTCCTGGAGTTTACTGTAATCATAATCTTCCACATCAGCAAGTTACTAGCCTCTAATGTGTTCACTCTGGTAATGTCTTAGGAACACTTAATTCTCCTCCAAAAATCAGCATTGATGCAACCATAATCTCATTCTTAGCAAGTTTCTTACTCCACACCCAACAACAAAATTACATTTTATTACATAAAGCGCCTTTCACATCGGGAAGACGTCCCAAGTTTCTGAACAGTCGGGGATCAGGACCTCTATTTACCTAGCAGTAAATAGGAACCTGGTTGTTAGTCAATTGGCAGATCACTTTCCGGGGTAATAATCACTCAAAAAAGTCACTCAATCCCCAACTGTTTGTGGGACACTGCTATGCGCAATTGGCTGCTGTGTTTTGCCCACAAACCACAGTGAATTCACTTAACAGTATATCCTATGAAGTGCTCAACAATGTGATAAGGAGCTATATCAAATGCTGTTGTTATTAAATGGAAGACTTGGGTCAGTGAATTTCAAAGAAATCCTTCTGAGATTTTATGGCCAGATGGATGGACTAGTTAGTTTACATAGAACCATAGAAATTTACAGCACTGAAGATGACCATTCAGCCTATTGTAGCTGTGCTGGCTTTTAAAGAGCAATCCTTTCGGACTTTCCCCACATACCACTGTCATTTACTCCTTTCTAGATATTAAAACTATTTCTAACTGAAATGTTGCTGTAACGATTCGACGGGAGTTCAAACCAACTTGAAGATCAGTTTCCTGACCATCAATGCCCCAAATAAAATAGGTCACTCATTTCATAGTTGCTTGTGAGACACTGCTATGTGCAACGGCTGCCGAGTTTTGAAGCGTTTTGAAACGTCTCATTGATGTGATTCGGTGCTATAGCAAATACTGTTTATTATTATCAGATGTTCCCAGAGATGAACCAATACAGTTCAATCCTAATAATTCCTGCTATCCCTGTCAAACTGAATGCTAGGAATGACCCCAATTGTAGTGAATACATTCTGGGGTGGAAAGGGAATTTAGCAAATTGTATCCTTTGACCAAGTTACGATGTACAAAAATATTATTCTCCATATTTGGCATTAAATACACAATCCAGAAAATGGTGTTTTATGAGAAATCCAATGTTGGTGAAACTCATTGTCTGCGGCAAAGACGACTGATCGATTGATTGCTCGATCGTGTCTGACAGGGGATATCTATGGTGATTGGAGGATGCAAGCACCAGGAACAGAGATTCAATAGCCGATCAGCTGGTATCAGTTCAGCGTTACTCTTCATATCCGTGGGAGGTAAGCGACGAGACTTTTTTTGGTTTTCCTCTTATCTGGCTCTAAACTTTAGATGCTTGAATAATGTACACAATTCTCTAAAATTGTCCCTTGTTGCTTTTTCACACATTGACCAGAATAATCGCGTTAGTTAAGGTTGTGATGCTGATGTAGATTTGTGCTCGGGCTTTGTGCTGAGTAGTGTAGAATTGTGCCAGATGGGCAGAGGGCAGTGGGGAAGAAAGGGGAGGCTGGGAACTTATACTTTTGAGTGACCTTAAACAGCGAAGATGTTTATAAATGAAGATGCTATAGCTTATAAATACCCAGGTATTTCTTTGCTTCTGATGGTTCAGTTCTGTTGCATTCACTGTATTCAGCCAATCCTGGCTTCAACAGCCAGTTCTCCTAAGAGGAGAAAATTTCTCATCCCTTCAAGTAGGGAGGTGTCCTTGGCTTGAGAAACCGCCATTCTACGGCTATAATTCAATAGCCAACAAAGCGCGGTTCACATTGGAGTCTTGATTGCAACGTTTTGACGACAAAGGCAGTGACTAAAACCTCCTCTGTCAGATTCCCATTAACGAATGCGGAACTTTAATTCAATCTCCTTTTTGATCATCTTAGGGAATCTTGAGCATGAAGTCTCCAAACCAAATTACAAGGAAGTTTGATATATTAAATATTGTTTGGTGTGGGGAGAACTCTTTCCCCAGAAGGAAAGTGTCCTGCTTAACTAATGCCATGCGATTGCTATTGCCACGTGGGGCAGTGCAATAATAGGCAGGTGGTCCACTCTCTTTCAGGTGTTTTTGCTCCAACTCTGTTCTCCAAGACTTATGGGAGTCTTGTATGTCAAGATTGCAACAGCACGTCACCGAATGAGTCTGCTCCCTTTGAGTGTGTCAACTGTCACTATAACGTGGTATGTATTAGCTATCATTTTACATCCGTGTAGTTTGTTGCATCCCTGATCCTCTACTGTAAAGTTCTCTAAATATGCAGTCTTTTTTTGAAAAAATGATGTTATAGCTTGGTTGTGTTAGCTGTAGTTACCAGGAGTATGTTTTGCTTGCACTGTTTGACTTGTTTGAAACTACTTTACCTATTAAACTTTGCTGAGGTTTTGCTGAACAGTAGCAATTCAGTGCTCACCAATCAGTGGTATTTAATGATTGAGTTTTCCTCTCTCTGCTGATCTGTATTGCAATCTGCAGCAGCACTTAGTGGAATTAGATGGTACTAAATAATTGCTGGCTGGATCTTCTCCAGTTTGAACCTCCTACCTGGAGAAGTGGCTTCATCCATGAGTCGGTTGCTCGTCTTTAAAAGTGAGCCTTTTTGAGGGCTTTTTGGTCAAATTGGAAATGATGTTCAGCTTCTTTCTCAGGATTTCTTATAAAATACGTACATTTTGATGGTAGTTTTCGTGTTGAACGTCTCAAAGCATCCAGTGTTCCACAAAGTGTAGTGACTGTATGCTCTGTAGTTAAATTTACTCCATTTTCAGCAATGAATGAGCCTAAATTTTAGCTTGGTTCAGCACAGGGTTTGCCCAATACTCATCATATTTTGAAAAACATGAAACTGATCATTATCTGGGTTAAAAAAAAATTGTAGATGCCAATAGTAATAATCCTTGCGTGTGATGTAACACCTTATCACATCGTTGAGACATTTCAAAGTGTTTCACCTGATGTGAAGTAGGTTGACTGTATTTTGTGGGCAAAATCCCTAATTGTTTTGGTATTTTACCAACAAGCAACTCCCAAGCTAAAATATTCCTAATCCCACGAACTAAGATGAAATATTATTTTGTATTAACTCTCTGAGCAGTTCTTATTCGATGCCTAGTTGTCTTAATGTCCTTGCAAAAGGTTCCAGTTTGTTTCACAAGCTTTTGAAATTAAATGGCTGGTTTGTTGAATATCTTTTTTTCACAAAATTGTGTTAATACCTTTGTATCGAGTTCCGGGCTTGAAATTTAGTTCTCTCCCCTCCCCGCTCTATTTTCTCAGTCTATTGACTTTATATGCAGGTGCTAGAGTGCAGAATAGATAACATTTTGGAATTCGGTTCAATAATTAATTTATCTATAATTAACCATTTTCAACATTTCTGATTTTTCTTCACAGATCCTGAACGGCACCTTATTTGAAAGTCACATCCAGTAAGTCTGGAAATGTTTGGGTCACTTTTAAAAAAATTTTCTTTCCTGATTGCAAAAGCAAGAACATTCAACCAGCACATAATTCTGCTTTAATTGGATTTCACCTCATTTAACACTTATGTTAATGTCTCAATGCATGATTTTCTGTGGTGTGGTGACAATCTGTAGACATCTTACAGCAAGTGTCTATAATTTGCATTTTATTTTTAGCAACATTCAGTATAACTAACCCTTAAATCAGGGCATAAATATGCAATCTGGTATTAAAACGATTAACCGAGAATATGGATAGGGCCAAAAGAGTTTGTTTTTTGCCACTTAGCAATGGAATCACCGATGCTATTCATATGAAAAGCCAGTTGCTAAAACTTTGTACACTGTAGATTAGTCAAGTACAAAGCAAAATGACTGCTGCAAGTGCACCTGCACTGAGCAGTGACCCTTTTCTAAATGGGGATCCATGTATGATGCTTTAGTAACTTTATGCAAAGTGTTCGTGCCCACTTTGTTATGTGAACATGTGCCCCGTACTGAATAATTCATGTTTCTCTGCTCTGTAGGCCCCTGATTTACACTGTGTCAATCCTACTCCCTGCGTCGTACTTGATCGGACTCATTTTTGCACTGAAGACCCACACGCACATCTATGATATTCACATCAGTGACTGTCACGGTAAGTACGGTGTCCCAGGCAGGAGCCTTGTCTTGTGTTTCTGGCTGGAAAATACTCTAGAGATCCCGGATCATCTACAGGCCAACACAAATTAGTCATTTGTTTTTAAAGTAATGAACAGTACTTTTTTTGGTCTGGTCAATTTCCTCATTTATTCCAAAACCTGATTGCATTAAAATTCTGCAGTAGTATAATAACATCTTGTGTTATGATGGTCATCCCTGCAATTAGTTCCAATGTCTGTCTAACACTCTCATTCAATTACTGGATGACTGTAAAATTTGTGTTTAATTTCTCTCCCTCCTTGCAATGAACAGTGAGTGGTTCCCATTTAAATTGCCAAGTGTTTACTGCTCTCACCAGGAGAAATATCCTTTCTTTTCGACAGTGTGATTTGGATCCGACTTTTGAGCCCTCTGTTATTTTTACATCAGAGAAGGATTCACACCTGATAACTCGTGCCTTCTCTCTCTCTTTCTTTCTTTCTCTCTCTCTAGTTCCAGGTCACAGCCACAGTATTGTAGTTCACTGGTCACGATGGAGAGCAGTGGTCCTGCTTGTTGTAGCCACAGTTTTCATGTCTGCCTGTGCAGAATTAGTGTCCGAGCACATCAGTCCCTTGTTATCTAGCTCTGCAATCTCACCGGTAAGTGTGCGTGCGTATATTGTGAAATGGGGTTATTTATTCACTGTTATATACATGTCAGTTATTGGGATTATCTATAAAAACAATAGTAGAAAGAGTAGAAATCTTGCATTTGATACAGTGCCTTGTCACATCAGTGATGTGTCTCATATATTGTAAAGTGAATTCTGTGGGCGAAACGCAGCAGCCAATTGCGCACAGCCTGGGGCTCCACAAACAGTCGTGGATTGAGAACAATATCTTCATTGTAGCCGAGCTAGTTAAGGGATCTACCAGAAATTTCTGAATGATGTATGAACAGCGTTTGAGAGTAGGAGATCAGTCATCCTATTGTACTTGTACCTCTACTGCCCAATTATCTCTAGCATCCTTATTGATTCTACTTCTGAAGCTTTTTGGAGCAGTCTTTCACCCTCACAACCCTCTGTAGAAATGCTTCCTAACCTCTTTTAACAATCCCAGCCGATTTTAAGATTAGAAAAATTCCAACTTGCATTGATGTAGCAGCCTTCACACAGGGGAGGGGCTTGGAACGCTTGACGATGGCAAAGCTCAACAACCGAGGTGGAGAGAAACGGGAAGTGACCACAGGCAGAGTCTGAGCTCTTTCCATGTTCGTTTCCCACTGAAACCGACTCAACTATTTGTATAACACAGTATTATAATGGCATTAAAAGGGAACTTGATAACCACTTGAGTAGGCCTCAGTGGGGGAAACATAACATGGAATTTCTACACAGAAGGGGAGTACATTCAGCCCACGTATCTCACTGCACAGCTGGGAATTGGCTCCTGTACTGTGAGCTTTTATTTGCCTGTCAGGAGTTGAGTCAGTGGGTGCCTAAACTTGGTCACTTGAAGGTGGTTAAAAATTGTTTACATCTGAAACTCCCTTCCCTTTCTTCCCCCGCATCCCCTCAAAAAAAGGCCTCCATGCTGAGTTTGGAAATGAGTCGAGCAGAACGCCTGTTTGCCAACATGGTGGAATTGGGCCCTTCCTGCCCATTACCCATCAGAATAGTCTTACCCAGTGGGATATCTCTGCTGCCCGTCTCAGTTTGTTGCACAACAGATGGGGAAATCTTCTCAACACTGCATTCTTCAATCTGACATTCAACTACAGCAGTCTGCTGTCTATAAGCCATCTGCTCTCAACTCCGACCTGGCAGCATAGCTGTTGTGAAACATGGTGATAAAGGGCATTGTTTGTTTGTAGAGATGTCACCGCTTTTTGGCAAGCTCTTTGCTCATTCTCTGTTCTATCAGAAACTCATCATTACTGCACAAATCTGTTTGCGTTCCAGCCGGGGGCACTATTATAGCAGGTAAGAGTGTAGGATATATTGGTCATGGGTGGAGGTACACAGCATAATCCTTTTGATATAGTGCCTTGATGTCTTAAAGTACTTCCAAGATTTACTGTAAGGTGTAGTGAATGTAGGCAAACGCGAGCCAATTTGTATACCATGAGGTCTCAAACAGCCATCAAGTGAATGGCTCATTTTACTTGACTGAATTGTTGGCTGAAACAGATGCTCCCCCTTTTGGGGATCTTTAAACATCCACCTTATGTTCACAGGCCAGCACCGCCGACAATGCAGCACTGCCCCACTATTGAGGTTATGCTCGGCTGACGTTTCAGTACAGAGTTCCGTTGTGGTCGTCCTGTTTTCCTCTCTCTTTCCATTCTTGTTTCCGATCCCATATGTGAACACTAGCCATCTGCTTGATAACTGTTACTAAATTTAACCCTCTTCCCCCCCCCCCCAGGACACCTGATGTCGGCACATTTTTCTGAAGGCTACAGAGGGGGTAACTTAAAATAGATGGCTAATTGTGTTACTATTTCAAATTCAACAGCCCTAATGTCAGCATTTGTGTGTAGATAATATATATATTTAACTGTGATTACTTACAGGTGACTTTGAGTAATGGCCTCGACCATTATTTGAGCAATCTTCTCGATGGGACTTCGAGATGGTTTTTAATTCTGTTTGTGTACTTTTTCTTGCCCAAAACAGTACTTTCTTGGTGTCACTATCTTGGCAATGGTCCCTGAGCTTCCAGAGATTGTAAATGGAATCCAGTTTGCTCTGCAGAACAACATCAGTCTGAGGTATGTTGCTGCTAAACATTGTATTTTTTTATTTTGCTCAGTGATGTCTCAAGCCTGATTTGTAATAATCCTTGTAATTATAATCCTTGCATTTCATATAGCGCCTTATCATGTTGTTGAGACATCTCAAAGTGTTCACAGAATGTACCGTAAAGCGAATTGACTGTATTTTGTGGGTTAATTGAGATCTAACGATTACTGTAGCATTATAACATTTTGGGGACAGAGGAAAAACATTACTACAACATGCTAAAGGGCAGGAGGGTGGAAAGACCAGGTAAACCTGGGGTATTATCTATTGACTGACTGGCCAACAACAACAAAATTACATGTGTATAGCGCCTTTCATGTCGGGCTCGAATTGACAAGATCTTTGAGAAGACTTCCAGCCCACATTCATAAGTGAAAGATAAGAAGGTTTGAAAACTGCCAAATGATTCTGGAGGGGGTGAAATTTATCACTCTTTCATATAGAAATTAAAATGTGTATCTTAATAAACTGGAGTTCCTAGTAGGCAGGTGCCTAGATTCAACTTAATTTATATAATAGTAATCCTTGCATTTGACATAACACCTAATCACATCTTCGAGATGTCTCAAAGGGCTTCTCAGAATATACTGTAAAGTGAATTGACTGTAAATTTTGTGGGTGATATGATGGGAAATATCAGGAAGTGTGCTTCTAGCGCTGATCTATATTGAGCCAGAGAGAGCATTTGATTGCACTATAATTGAAAGACCTAATGCTGACTTTAGGAGTTGGGTCCTATGTAATGCAACACAGCATTCGACTTCAGCAAGGTTTGCTTAATATGAACACATAAATTGCACTTTCCTAAAGCTTTGCTTTTCTCCTCAGCCTTGAAGTTGGAAGTTCTATAGCAGTCCAAGTGTGCATGTTGCAAATTCCAATCCTCGTACTCTTTAATGTAATTTATGTAAGTATCTACGATTCTTCCAAACTAGGAATAGTCCTGACAAAACCTAGTTTAATAAATCCATGTTGTGTGTATAGTACAATAAGTATTGGTACTGGATTGCACAATAAATAAATTATCTTTAAATTATTATATAATGCAAATCCTCTGTCAATAAGGTTAGCTTTTGTAAGGAATCCTCTAGTTTAAGTTTAAAGGATTGCAGCATTTATTTCAAGATTCTGAATAGATGTATATTTTTTGCCACAAAGGGTTTGAGGGAAAATTGTCTGTTCTCCTCTTGTTTTTCCGCAGCCTGTAGGTTTTGTTCTACTCTTTAGTGATCTTCACCTCTGGGCTTCAATCTTCAGTGTCATTTTAATGAATTACATCTTCATGGATGGCAAGTGTGACTATTTCCAGGGTAGGTTACTCCTTTAGCAAATACAGATGTATTCACTTTACAGATTTTTCTTAACTATGAAGCTTACAGTAAATGTATTGGCACTGAACAATATTGGACTGCAATTGGGGACTGTTCTTGCCTGATGACCTTGATGTCCACCATATATAAGACCATTTTACCCAGTTGTGTGATTGAGAGTCCAGGGTATTTACTATTCAATATCTTGTGATAATTGGATTTGTGCAAAAACTAATGATAAAATTGCTGATCATAATAATCATCTTACATTTGATATAACACCTTTTCCCATCATTGAGACGTCTCAAAGTGCTTCACAGGATATACTCTTAAGTGAATTGATTGTATATTTTGTGATCCTCTTCCTCCTGAGGAACTTCCATCCCCAAACGCTTTAAAAGCTCAGCAATTGATGTAAATGATCTTTGAAAGCCTTGAGCACGTCTTTATACAATAGTGATTCATGTCTTCATCATGGTGTTTACCATGTTTACTCATGACACAATAATCTGGGAGTGCCTTTTTGCTAAAACTGGGTGCTGGAAATGTTTTCCACAGAATAGGAACAGGAGTAGGCCCTTGAGCCTTTTCTGCCATTATCTAAGCTCATGGCTGATCTGTACCTCAGCTCCAATTACCTGGCTTTGTCCCATATTCCTTGATACCCTTGCCTAACAAAAATCTATCCACCTCAGTCTTGGAACATTTGAATGGATCTGACATTCACAGCCTCTTGGGGGGGGGGAAGAGTTCCACTACCCTTTGTGTGAAAATGCTTCTTGATTTCACTCGAAAATGGCCTCACTCTAATTTTTAAGATTATGCCCCCCTTGTTCAAGATTTCCCCCCACCAGCAATGACAATCACACCACAAATACAACCTTCTTAAATAGAAAATTGAAGCTTACTGACCTTTTTTTACCTCATCTCCTCAGGTACAGCACTGGTGGTGGTCTACTTTATTATTATAGCCATGTATTTCTTTGCTCCATCGCATGGTTTGTGCTGAAGACTTTTCTTCTACTGGACTATTTGTACTGAGCCACTTCTTGAGGAGAATTGTCAACCGGCACCAGTCAGGCTTTATATATTCTACTCCATTTGCACTATTTGCTAGGAGATGAGATGGATTGATCTCAAAGTGAGACATGTTGCTGCATTTTTTTTTAAAAGTTTACTCTTAACGTGAGTGACCGGGGAAGGAGATGGAACTCGAATGAATTCAGAATTGGACACAAATGACCAACTGAAGACTAACACTCCAGCCCAGTTCTCCTGATGGTTCTCTCAAAACATTCAAGATCATCCAGAGGAGAGAATGCATTGACCCCCCATTCTCTCTAATGAACTTAGAAGATCTCGATGGTGAAGCAGTGCTGGTTTATATCCAGTTACCATTACTTTGAAGATTCCACAATAGCAGGTGGTACTGTTTATCTTGTCATTTCCTATGTTAAATTTATCTTGAAGAGAAATGTATTTTTGTTGGAAGGAACTACTAATTCATACAGTAAGGACAGCATTGGGTTGAGCAGTTTTTGTATTTCAAATAAAATGACAATTTCCAATGTGGTTTGACTCCAGTGTAACTTTGGGACATTTTCTGGAAGTGGTGACATTTTATCAAACTAGGTTAATCTTGGCAGTAAGTTTTCTTTCCTTCTTGAATTCAATCAGTGCATGAGAAGATGCAAATGGGAGCCAAGGAGGAGAGCAGTCTTGAAATGGAGCTATAGAAGCTTGGGATCAACCAAGACTTAAAAGCAGTGGTCCTGGAATTGAATTAGCACCATCCATGGTGTGTGGAGAAAAAACTGTACCCAAAGTTTCACTAAGGAATGCATAGATGGAGATGGGCGGATTCTATACTTGGTCTTGAGGCAGGGAGTGATTTGGCTGCACCAACCCACTTAGTGTGTTAGTAAATCTATCTGATGTGTAGAAAACTTGCCTGTGAATACTTGGAATGATTTAATCTTTGCGTAAATACACATTAATTCACTCTCAGAACAGACAGCTTTTATTGGTTTGAATCAAACAGACAGAGTCTAGAACAGCAAATATCAACAGCAATTCAGTCTAGAAGGTACTGTATATTGATTCTTCAGGACAAAATGGAATACACTAAAGCCAATCCCCATTCCTTCTGCCCCACACACACACACACAGATTTTGTTCCAGCACAAAATTAATACCAAGTTGTGGCAAATCTTAAAAACAAGGCAAACCAGATGAGTTTGTTCACTGGATCACAAGTGATTGTAAACCCAGTAAGATTTAATAAGGCTAATGTACAGTGCAAGGAGACAACTGCACACAGATGTTCAAATGGTAGTTTTCCTGAATAGATTCAATATATCATGACCCCAAATTCATCTTAAATGGACTTAAATGAAGCAGACACCAACGTCCTAGCTGCTATTTATGTGTGAAGATCAACATGTCTACTGGTTCTTCTGTTTCACTCCTCTTCCCCACGCCCCCCAATCAGTATAAAATAAATCTTTGCCTTTTAAAGTAACCATTGTTAAATGATCATAGTCAATTTGCCTAAGACTGATCAAAACTAGTTTTGCATCTGTGTGGAATAGCTGAATTTTTGGAAAATTGAATTAAAAAAGGGGGGAGAAAGAGAAAAACTTCCATTTTTCCAATAACCTACTTAGGTCAAATGCACCATAATCACTCAAGGTCTTATTGAAAAAGCAGCAAACCTATTTAAGGAACAAATGGGCATGAGAATGAATGGCCACATGGAGAACTTAAATTCAACATGGACTTGACAACTCTTGTCCTGACAATTCAGTTGATTTATTTTACTGGAGACTTCAGATATGCAACTTGAACCTTAACTTTATTCATCTAAATTAAAGCCATTTTTTAAAATGATTTGGTTTAAAATTCTCTCAACTGCCCCACAATACTCAGCTCGATAGAAATCAGACCATTAGCAACCTGGGTCTCTTGCATTTAGTGATGCCGGTGAAGCTATTTTACAGCTACTCTGTAAAATATAGAGATGTTTTCTACACTGATGGTCCCACAAATGTGGCAAGTGGAACTTGTATTGGACAAATAGTGCAGCAAGAAATTTATGGAAAAGAACTACAACCAAAGCAAGTCGAGATGTGTTTACATATAAATACCTCATTTGAACACAGCAAGCCAATATCAAAACAAGCAAATCTGCAGGCCTAAAACAGACATACTGTTGTCTTTTAAAGTCCAACCTTCACAGTTGTACGTGTGTCCAAAATATAGCACTTACATTTAAAAAGCCAACTGTATCCATCCTCTTTGGTATCGTGAACTCAATCTCAAGTTAGCTTCCAAGGAGGGGGAAAAAAATCAATGGAGTACATTTCCACACTTAACTAGTCCTTAACAAAACCACACATTAAAGCAAACGAGTTTAATAATTAATTGCACTGACTAATTGCCTGCAGACTGTGCTTCTCTCCCCTCCACCCTCGGTTTCACAGATCAGCACACTTAAGTATTTGTAAGCAAGATCGCATTTCAGTATCGATACCTAAATACTATCTGGGTTCAAAACTTTCAGGCAGGACTTCCAGTAGCTTATTTGAGGTGGGAGGGATTGTCACAGTAGTGGGCTCCAAAGGGTCTCGGCAACTTTCAGCCCAGCAAAGGAAATCAGAACTCTAGTTCACACTAATTAGCATCCAGTCCCCTCTAGTGGACAGATGGGCATAACAAGATTCAAGTTCAGATGAGATTCCTACCCAGGGGGAAAAAAGTGGAATCGTACATAGGATACTTAAGCAGCTCACCAAAAGTTCAACAATACCTTTGCAACCATAGTCACCGACATCAGGAGAAAAGGAAAAGCTAAATAAATAGCAATAAGTTAATTAATTTATCTGCTGTTCTGTTCCATTTAGTTCAGCCTGTATAATATATTTTAAAATGTATTCAGTAGCTTATTTTGTGTTCTTTCAATCCTATGGATCACTTTATAGGTTCTATGGAGACCAGTGGCAGTTAAATTAACTAGTTGAATTATTCAATACTATTTCCTATAGACAACTTGTGCCTTACAATTAACCTACTTAAAACCAGCTGTAGTCATACATTCAAACATAATACATTTAGTCTGGTGCTGCAATACATTTGTGGGTAATAATTTACCTGGATTTGGGTTTACTCTAATGTAAGCATTTCAGAGTATCCAGTGTTTTGGCAGTTTGTGAATTTTGAAACTGGTTTCCTGTAACTATCCATGTTAAACTAATGCAACAATTTGCTGCAGACTTTGCACACTCAAATGCTACACAAGGGAGCAGAGGGTGTGAGAGTGGGGGGATGTGGAGGGTTGGAGTATAAGCGTAAGCAGGGAGGAGATGGGCCAAATAGCTTGACTATGTAATGCAACACAATGTATTTCTATGTCACAGGTAAAGCTGGAATGTTTATACTTTGGTGCTCAGACACAGCTGTTGCATTCGAGCATCAATGTGTAGATATTCCTCCTGTATCTGATCGGTTCCATTACAGAACGCAGTTGGCGCTTACAACTTCCTACACATTTAATTCAACAAAGCATCTTCATACATACAGAGAGCAGTAGAACTACAAGTAACCAAACAAGATAAATTCTTCAAACTACCTCGGAAAAAGGTGGTGGTATTGAAATAATACTTGCGTTTGATATCACATCTTATGTCATTAATGTCTCACTAAAGTGCTTCACAGGATCTACTGTAAGGTGGATTGACTACATTTTATGGGTAAGACGTGGAATGTGATTGCATGCAGCAATGTCTCAAAAAGATGCATTAAGTGAGTGACCAATTTTATTTAGGGGGATTCGTTGGCCAGGAAAACAGGAGAACCCCCCCTTTTCAAATTGTGTCTTGGAACCTTTATTAAAGTCCTCCTGAACAGCTGTAACCTCAGTTTAACATCCCATCCAAAGGCCAGCATCTCCCAACAATGCTACACCCCAGCACTGCACTGAATGGCAGATTAGACTATGTGATTCCATGTCCCAACGTGGGGCTTGAACACACAACCTTCTGACTTGGGAGGTGGGAGTGCTACCATTGAGCCAGGAAACTGCAATGACTAAACTGGAACATTTTGAAAGAGCGGAAGGGGAAAAAAAAACACATTTGCTGATTAATGGTTACATTTCCAGGATATAAAACTTTGAAAATGCTTCAGGAGCGCAGCTGACAGACAGTCAGTGACCACCATTATACCCAAGGACATTATTGGAAGAATACACAGCAAGGAATTCAACAAATTCATGCTTTTATTATTACAAAAAAAGCCAATTTAAAATAAAATCTAGATTTTACAAAAGAAAATAATAATCTGATTTTTTAGAAAGGTTCATTTAAGTGGCATGCATTAATATCGGTGCACACAATTTAGCTATTGTCATCAATTACTTCAATGGAGGTTCATCACAAGAGGAATGGATTGATTGGAGTTAAGTCACTGATATTTTTATCCAGAACAAGAATCCTATTAATACAAAGCTATTATCCCTCATACACACTGTTGCTGAATGCCAAAACACTTCAATAGTCATCACTGAAATTCTGACAAGTCAGTCAATAATCCGTGATCAATGATGGTTTCACAACAGGAGCATGTGTTTGAAAATATATCACAAAGGGACAGGAGATCTCAGGCCTAAAGCATACATCTCTTTGCAGAGTCTTAGGCACTGATCAACATGCACCTGTTCATGGTTAATGTCTTCAATTAAATAGATTCCTAATCCTTCTGAGTACAGTACTTACAAGTCACCAGTGATTATCATTAAATGAGCAATTTCCTGAAAATTACATAAAATCCAGAGCCAATTCAACTAGAAGACCCAACAACTATTCCATTGGAAATACTAGAAGCAGGTGCAGTGTAGATCTTCTGCTGCTCCCAAAGACTGCTGTCTCCTTTCAAATTGCAAGAAGTTCATTCCTATATGGTGTGTCAAGTTTCAAGGAAGCTCTCAAGTGTTTACTTTGCACAGAATAGAGAAATAAGACCCTGAAGCAAGTAAAATAACTTCCCGGTGGTGGGTGGGGGTGGGAAAGGGAGGGAAGAAAAGATGTGATGTGTAACTGGTTACATTCCAACTCTAATACACGCGCACAACTTAGAAAGGCCACATGCATACAGACAGCTTCTTTAGATGTGAACATTGCCCACATTCCATTACAAAACACTTCCTACATCAAATATGTCTGAGCCAATCCCTCTGACACAGTTCTCAGTTGGTGTGCTTCATTTAGTGGATGCTTAGGAAAAAGCATTCAGGCTTTACGTAGCACACCAACCACCATAGTATTGTTACAGCAAAGTGGGAGAGAAAGTACGACTTTAGACTTCAAAGACAAATGGTGGGTGAACATAATAGCTTTCTATTGATCAGGATGAAAATCAGGAAATGGTTTCAATTCAAGAATAAAGAGCACTTGCAGAAATGTTTCAAAAAGAACAAAAAAGGCAATTTAGGAATTTCCAAATTGGAATCACAGAAGAGGAAGCAACAGACAGAGCTAAACAGAGTACTGTATCCCACAAAGAGACTAGTCAATACA